CAAATGGAAATAATCTGTTTCTGTCCCATAATTTTTTTGTTTCGACGCTCTTCAAATCTTCACTTACAAAACGTCCCTACAATTAGTGAGGCAAATCTGAAGATAATTTTGAATTATATCAAATCGATTTGCGCGAAGCAATTTGCGATGATCAATTCTCTGAAGCAACATTTTATTATTGTATTAATGGCTTATGTGTAAATGTTATCCGTATCTTTTGGCGTATTGTACAAGACGTTTCAAACGAATTTTTCGCTCATCTACCGACCAAATTGTGCTTGAATGAAAATTTCGCGCCTCGGCCGAAGTCGATGATGCTTGCTGAATTGGAATGCCTTCAAAGGTTTCTTTTCAAATATTTTAATTTTTTTCGTGCTTACTTTCAACACTTCTTGTTTTTCAGTTGTATCCCCTTCGCCTTTAGCATTATCTGCGTCCAGATACAACGGAATAGGTGTAACAGGCGGGTTGACGGGCAGGCTAGGTTCCTCACCCTCGGAGTGCTTACACTCATCTCCATTCGTGTGGGGGTCCCGTAAGATAGGCTTGTCCTTATCGCAAGCCCGGTTCAAGTTGCCTTGTCTATCTTCGACGTCTTGCTCTTGTGGCTTGAAAGTTACTGACACCTTGATGGGATCTTGTTCTTCAAGATCATCAAAATGACTCCCCTGGTCTTCTTCTGTCATTTTCAATTCAGCTAGCATTTGAACAATGAAGATTACAAGTCATTATTGTACCTATGCATGCTCAGCCCCTTTTTTCAGGTGAAGCAACAAAATCAGTTCATCATTTCAATAAAAGATAGATAAACTTCGCATTTTCTTGAAGAAGATTAGAAGAATGAAACATAAATTTGGCCAGATTAACCGATGGCCGTGAAAAACTGGAATCATTTCATGAATAAATTAGATGTGCAGAACAACAACAATCATTTACAGTAATCAAAACAGATGGAATACAGTGCAACAGTTAAGCCAGCCAAAGGTAACGAAACAGCCTATCACCCACACTGAGTATCAATTTTCTCTATAAAGTCCATTATACAACCATAAATTATACAACCATAAAAGATATATTTCCTCGTTTAACAAGTATCGAGAGATTCTATCGAGATTTCTTATAAAAATAATATTAATATCAAAATGATAGCATATATAATGAAATACCTGAATCAAGACAGCTTGCGACAACGTGATCTCTCTCTCTCTAAAGAAAAGAAATACAGTAATTTAGAGAGAAATGCACATGAATATATGAGTCAGCCTTTTAGATTGATATCATACAGTTATGAGACAGCGATAGACGCCAAATTTTTATCGTCTCCATTCTTCGCACAAGCAACTTTGTGGTTGATTTCAAAAGAAGAATCAGTCAGATATAAAATGCGAAATCGTCTGGATGCTTCTGCTCTAAAAAAAATGCAATGAAGTTGATGTTCCTCTATAGAACTTCGTGATTTATTATATGTATACATACGCAGTCATCGTTGATCTGACCTCCGCTTAAACAATTTTGACTTCCTGCCTTAGAAAAAAACCATGTTTGTTCTACACTAAAATATTATTATTATAGGAGTGAAGTGTTCGATAAACATTATCATAATGGATAATAAATTTTTTCACAGAAGTAAGTGCTTTTCCTCGGAATGATGTTAATTCAGACACATTAAACTTGAAGCACGATGATGAAGAACGCCATTGTCTATGTAAACATATAAATAATATCCAGATAGAAGCTGTTTACTGGCAACTCTTTCTCAATTAACCCCCTTAAACGTAAGCCGCACCATACTCAGTAGAAGCCGTGCATACTATAATCCACTAAATGACTGTCTTCCTTTTCTAACAGACTTTTAATTTTCTTCAAACCAAACCTGACAAACATTTGTTTAAAAAAGTTGCATATTCTATTGCATCACAACTTACCTGACAACGGCGTTTGGACGTAGAATTCAAATATTCCCTTTCCTACTTCATTTTACATAGGATTCTCAATTTTAGGTAATGCCCATTGAGATACACACTAAAACGGTTTAACCTTTTTTATCAATATGTTGAATATTTCTTGAAGCATCTACTTTGAAGTGTACAATGTTAAAACAAGCACAAACAACTTCACTGTTACTTGACATTTCACTACCCCAGTGCGGTCTCTATTTACAATTAAGCATCGTGTTCTCAAACAAATGTCAAGTTCTTTGATATGGTAATAACGTAATCAATGGCTGTTTCATCATTTTAAGAAGTTAATTAATCATTTCACGTTCCTATTGGCTGGGTTCGTTTCAAGCAAACACAATGAATAAAGAGTGTTAAGTACTTCTCTAAGCCACTTGTTTGAGAAAGAGAAATATGTAAATAACTGTCATTCTAAATTGTTAAGTGCGTAATAAGCTTGAAGCATTGGATAAAACGGAGAGGAAAACGATGGTAAGTCAAGCTCTATGAGAGGGATCTGAATTTATCTCAACGTTTTTGTTATGACGGGATTCGGTTCTTTGACAGCATGACAATGATGTAAAGGAGCCTCGAAGTACATTTTTTTCTAAAACAGCTGCTACTTCTATCGGTCAATATCAAATTGTCTATTTTAATCTTGTTTGAATTCACGGTAGGGCTCATGCTTACGCCCCCTTAAAGAAATCATCCATATAAGCTTCCATCATTCTTCAATGGAGCTTACGGAAGCAAAGTGAGCTCAGATACGTGCAATCAAGAAGCATGACAGGGGCTATGGATGAAGGATCAATATAACAGCAAATCTATGGGGGGGAGGGGACCAATATCTACAGATAGGAATACGGTGAAACCCATACGAAGTGCACACCTAGACATATGCGAAAAGCAGTCTAACTCTTTGACCTCTAAGAGTGACCAGCATCTAATTTCTCCCAATGGTATCAGACCTGAATCAAACATTAAGGTCATGAGTGTTGTGTCGTCTAGACTCAGTCAAGTTACTCCTTTCATTGCTATTGCTCAACTGAATTTTATTAAAGAATCAACAAGCTATATTCACAATACAATACTAGGAATCAGTAATACTACTTTTACATAGGAATGTACTTTTACAATCATGTACCGATCGTGTCTTACAGGATATAGCGTGACTATAGTAACGCTTAGGTAACGCAATACACTACAATGAGAATAGAGGAAATGGAGGCAAACTCAACTTAGGAAACTCTTGATTGTAGACAAATTCTCCTTATAAGTTTCATGGGAAATGTAGAGAGAACAGTTTGGAGAATATGCATACTGATGTAAGGGTGTAACGGGTTACGTCCAAACCTTTTTCCTCCATAATTATAGTCAAATGAATTTGCTTTCAGTGTTTTACGACGAAGAATAATAATGAGCAATTGAAAACTAAGTTACTATCAGCGATTGATAATGACTCTGCAAACAGAAACAGACGATTAAACTTTCTATGATCAATATAACAAGGATGAAGACATTACACACCATTTGAAAAACTTGTTTATTATACACTGAGGTCATTACATGGGTTCCAGTCACAACTGAACATGCAAGCTTTACAAACTGATATCGAGTCACAAAGCGCTACATCAACGACAATTACTGCAACAAGCATAAAACGATTATTACCCCTGAGTACACACTCTAACAATTTAAAACAGCGATACAGAACGAATTTGAATAAAAGAGACAAAATTCTACTCTTGATAAATCATAATAAAAAATCTCATAGATGAGGCTATTTTTGTATTAACCCTTTAACTCCCAGATAAAGTTTGTAATTCTCCTTACTGTCAACCATACAATTCTTATAATGTTAGTTCAGAGAATTTAGTGTTGGATCAACTAATTATTCCCAAATTAACATTTGTCTTTATTCTCATCACTTATCTGGTTGATATTGTATTAATATTGTAGGGAGAAATTCTGTCTTGGTCATTCAGTTAAAGGGGAGGGAGTTAAAGGGTTAAGATGCCGGACCATTCAGTTCAAGTCCCCCACGGTCGTTCTGATACCCGAATATAACTGAACCTTCGTTGTTTAGTTGCATTGAGTCAACCGAAGAGGGATCATGTGGTACGGCGCTCCTAACATCTTTATTTTATCTCTAAGCTTCTCGTGCCAGTTGCTTTTTTTTTTTTTTCGTCGTCTTTTTTTAATTTATTTTTCTGACCGACGTAACAAAAACACCCTTATATTCGGCATTAACGATTCTAATGCACATCCAGGTCTAGGATATAGAGTAATATCAAAAGCAATTCTAAAATAAAAAGACTAAGGTGGCAAATTTAAACAAACAGTCAGTGTTGGCAGTATGTGTGCGTCAAATATCCCCTTTTTTCATCAGAAATTAAGTTAAATTATAAATAGTTGTTCAACTGAACAACAGCGTGTCAGTCGCCCCGGCAGGTAAATGTAAAAATGTAATATTCCTAATCTCAAAAACAAGAACGAGACAGCTTTTTCATTGCGAGGAAAGCAGCCAAATTATCTGCCGATTATCGGAGAATTTTTTCTACTGGTTAAAGGAGAAAACAGCAGCTGGAGTACCTGCATATAATTGCTAGGTAAATACGCTAAAGACAATTCAATTTTTTTTCTAAATTCAGCAACGGGAAATGTGAAATTTGGGATAAAACACATGAGATTCAAAAAACAGGCGAGGCTAGTTTCAAGAATAGATCATCATAATCAATAAGTCTCATAAGCCTAGATTAAAAGAAAATAGTTTAAACTCAGAACTAAGGAACGATTATGTAATCTGACAATCCAGGCGAGGGTTGATCTGCCTGGTGAGGGTTGGTCTTCTGGTGTCCGTTACGATGACTGACAACTCATCACAACAACCTGAGCGCAAGTCGTCATCACAGTTACTTGAGTCACTTTTTGGGGGTCTTCTGACAATGGCTTTTCTCTTGTTTGACGAAGAGTCAGGCAGCCAGGCAATATTACCAACATCAGTCCTTTTCATGACTAGGCTCACTCGGACGTTTAACTCACACCATCGATATGCAGCTTGTGTCAGCAACTTAAGGTTTGATTCCATCCGCCAAAAGGTCTCGTAAAGCAATAGTCTCCTACGTCTGATACAAGTAAACAGTGATCGCGAATCACTGGTTCCATAAGTAGTCCCACTACCCCAGCACAAAATGTTCCGGCCCCCATTCCTATGGTGGCAAATCCCATGGCAAATTCCTTAAATCTGGGGTCAGTCTCTGACACCACAACAAAAGCGTTTGTAAAAGCTGCACCCGCGCCAAGACCAGCGATAAAAATTAGAATGAAAACGATCCACACGTCGTGTAAGAATCTATACCACGCTGCTAGAGTAAAAAACACTAATTGAGCCACTAAGACTAATGATAAAATCCATATACGTCTAATCGCGAACACATTGACAAGGCTTGGCTTCAGGGATGCGATCACAGCAAGGTATGACCTAGCAATGAATTCACCACTCAAAAATATAAAAATATAGTATCTATAATGAACTCTAGGCGGAAAAGGGGCGCTTGGAAATGCCATAGTGGTGATAACAGATTGAATGATGACGTATTCGCTGACGTAAGCTATGAACAGAGATCCAACTAATGGGAGGATCTTTCCAGCTGTAGAAAGTTTTTCTTTCCACGTGACCATGTTTGCTTGTGACTCCGATTCATTTAATTCCCCGGATGTGGCAGCCGCCACAGAATGTTTTTTCTCCATTATGGCATAGAAAATTAGATAGAGAAGAGGTGACCCAGCCATTATCAGCATTGCATTGTTCGGTGATACACAACTCCATGTTGTCAAACCTGAAAAAAGAAGGGGAGATTAAAATGCTTTCCAGCGCCTGTCCATTCATTTTCGTGAAATTGCGCGAATTTCACCCAACCAAGTCGTATTTTGTCTTAGTTCTGCGTCTGATTGTGACGAAGAAGATCAAGGCGTTAGATTTCAGAACAAATCACAGAACATCACTGAGCAAAAGAATGAACCCATGGCTTCTTTTGACCCTCTTCAAGATATGTTTTATGGAGTGTATGATAACGCCCTTAGAGCATTGGAAGAAAATCAAGTATTCTCTCAGGCGAGTGGCACTATTTCAAATATGACAGAATTTCAAACTCACTTGAAGCCAAAAGAAATTAACGAAACTAACGAACACGAGAACCTAGAGTCGGACCAGGTAGAGGTTAGAGGTGACAGACCAATCAGAAACTAGAAACTACCAAGAACGAATACTAACGAGTCTGGCACGATCTTGGAAAAAAGAAACACGAGAGGCTCACTACAAAGGAACATGAGTCAGATGAACAGATGAAAACTTTCTATTTGAGCACCCACGAATTAGACACGATGTCAGAGAGAAGGCACCGAGCAATCGGAAACAGCCAACAACACAGCACGAGCACTTCCGACTGTAATTCTGATGTCTGAAAGAATCCAATTGACCGATCGAAAAGGGTGCAATAACAATGTAGTGCATCGAAAACATTCGGACAATTAAAAAGATTGGCATGTGTTAAGATAGCATCAGAGGTGATTGAGATTTTAAGACAAAATCCTTTTTTATCCAAAATATCAAGATTAGCGACACGATTTGTTTTTCCTTATTCAGAAGTGTGAATGAATAGGAGATAATTATAGTCAAGCTATTATACTCAAGACATTCTACTCTGTAAATCACTTCATTTTTAGCTGTTTTTAATGTCGTTCCTAAGAGGCTAAGCTAAGGTTGTGGTGTCTGGTTGTACTTCGACGAAGTGACTGGGTAAGTAACTCGGATGAGCTACGAATTCTTTTCTTCTGATTGTAGTCTACTTCTGCGACTGACTATATTCTTTGCTTTTGTAAAAAAATGAACCTCCCAAAGAGGTGATTTGCCCAGCTTTTTCCCCGACAGCCTACAATAAACAGAACCGGTACAACAAAGGGTAAACGAGCGTGAATCTAATTGATGTCGGATGTTGACGTTAATTCAACTTGTCAAATTTTTCTTTTCAGAAATCTGTTTGAAATATTTACGTTATACTGAATTAGATAACAGGTAGCGTTTGACGCCATTTTAAAACAAAGCTGGTACCCAAAGTAAACATCCTTGTTGCACCCACATTTACAAATACGATGAGCTTTACTTCTCGTATAAAACTATCCTAATTTACCGAATTTATTTTTTTGAGCACCACCCAATTGTGAATAAATATTCAATCTGTCGCGGCCTTAACGTCGGCTTAGGCTCAGATATACAAAATGAAAGATATCTATTCATACTCGTCAGTTTTCTGGATAAAAGAGCCACCGCTTTCTTCATAGCCGGGTTATCCTTTTAAAACACCAATGACAGTATTATTTTGATCAAAGCTGTTAAAATTTCCTGTCAAGACTTAAATGTTGTTGATCAGGTCACTTGTTGAATGATCGTACAATTTTACGAAGTCACGAAGAGATGACATGTCTTCTAAAATTCTATAACTGAATGTTCCTTTGAGCAGGGCTGGTAAATGTTGTACAACATATTGCCAATATTGCTCAACAATAACTAAAATAGCACGTAAACTCTAGTAATTTTCAAACTAAGTTACAAAACCCTGAAATGCTGCTTAAATTACTATGTTAGCGCACGTCCCTAGAAAAACTGTTCTCATTTCAATAAACAGATGTATTATCAGAGTATCGCTGCGATCTCACTGGAGTCAGTCTGAACAGAGATTGACGGCTTGTGAAAATTTTATACCCATTAAAATTGAGGTTAAGTTACTATATTTATCGACTGGAGCCACAACAGAACATTTTAGACTCCAGAGGTCTGAAAAGTGCCAGGCTCCGAAAAAAATACCGACCAGTTCGCTGAACTGAAATCAGGTGATCAGCATTTCATGGCAATGAATACCTCACAAAAGACGCGGTGTTCTTAGAGTTTTACATCTCTTTTTAAGCGAAAACAGACCTCTAATTTTTTATCATCTTTCACGCTCTGAAATACTTCTATGTTTGCGATAATGCACTGATATTTCACCGGAGACCTTATTATGTAAATATTGGTGGAATGCCTGTTCACTTACCAGTATAATAAAGAGGTCCCAAGATAAATCCAGAACCTGTACCCGCTGAATAAGCAGCAACAGAAACCTTCTCGTAATAGGCAGTTAATGTAAAAAACGATACTTCCCCAATTCCGGCTCCGAGGGAGGTCGTACATATTCCAACTAACTTCAGATAGACTTCTTTAGCGTAAACAATGATAAACAGACCTGCTGTAAAAAATGCATAAATTGCCACTATTCGCACGACGTACGGCATTTTGTGTATAAAATAGGGCGCGATCATTGTCACAAGAAAATACGGACCAACATTTGTCACCAACACTGCGGCAGTTGGAATGAAGGTACCCGCCAGAATGTCTTGTGCGCCTGAAATGATGACAGAATATACCGTGTAGATCAACGCACCGAAAGCGTAGAAGGCCAGAAGATTTCGCATTGGCTCCTTTTTTGCTTTTGCAGTTTTGATTACATCTTTGCTTTCGTCGCCTTCCTCACTTTTTTCTTCTTTAATGTCCTTTTCCAGATTCCTGTCCTCTGCAATCTCCATACCCTTTTCCATTATGACTCGCGACCTGAAAGGATCCTATCCCAATGAGTTATTTTCCTTTCCTTCTGGTGGTAGTTGTGAAACTTTGATAGAATATCAGTTTCTATCCCGTGTAATTTTCACCGCGAAAGGAACCAAAAGAGGATAGAAAAGTCCTTTTACTCACGTCATCTGGCAGCTAAGGTCGTCAATAAAATTTTGATTGTTCAAGGACACATTCTGTTCGCTTACGTTATACGACCTGGTGGCCAGAAAGAAACAGGAAACAGGGTTAGTTCTTGACCACCGTTGTATGTAAGGTAGATTAGCAGATGGTTTAGGCTGTTCCTGTCTTCTAACCACACAGCTGAGAATCAAGCACGAGCGAATGTAGTTCAGATTTTCTGACCGAAAACAAGTGGAATATCAGATCCACATCTCAAAATGCTTTAGCTTTCCAAGGTCCTTTGATAATCGGTGACGTTTTGATCGAGAAAAGCAAAACTAATGACTCTTAAGCAGGTGGGAAAAGTCCACCAGTTAGTTAGCGGCCCAAAGAAAATTACAGCGACCGATATGAATCATGGGGTGTTGTGGTAAATTACTTTCATTTGCAAAGTTTCCTATGATTCCGCGATGAAAACCACGTGGTGCTTTTGGGGAAATTTCTGATATTTCTAGAGTCATAAAAACATGAGTAACTAAAGATGTAGTATTCAAAGAATGAATTTAGAACCTTATAAGATGATAATTTCCAAGTTAAAAGAAAACTTTACGCATATATTTACACAAAAGGTATTTCACCCTTTTTAGTATCTTTCTACGCAACAAGAACGCATCCAATTTTTTTTCATTTCTTTAAAATGATATTTATATAGTGTCAAAATTTCTTAAGTCAGATATTATAATTATATCGAAAAATCGCAAAGTTTTCAGGGCTCCTTAATATATTGTAAAACGTGCTAAGAAGGTTTTGTCTCTAAGGAAAATTAAGAGCTGTGAGGCATTTTCATTTTTAATAATGATATTACTACTAGATATGTATGTATATAAAATGAATAATTATATTATCATTATGAATAAAAATTCCACACATCTCTCATTTGTACTAAGTAACAAGACATTTTAGCACGTTTCACCAAATGTAAAGGAACTTGAAAGCTTTGCGGTCTTTTGATATAATTTTTTAAGAAAATTAACTACACTTTTAAAATTAAAAAACACGTTGCGACAGTTCTTCTGTCATCTTCAGTTGTGAATAATACAAAATACAAATTGAATTTAAAGTGTGTAACAAAATGCTGATTGGACAAAACAAACAATAGAAACAGAAGAATGTATGCATTTACAAGGAAAGTTTTAAATTAACATGACCTTCCACATTTTCAGACATCTACAAAATTCTCCACAATGTCGCGCTCTTTGTTCTGATGAGTGTTTTAACATCCTAGATCACGTTTCCACAACCTTTTGACTTAAAATCAAAGAAGCTATCCACATTCGAAGGGAGAAACCTACACCTAATCATCAACCTTATTACGTTAATTTAAAACCTTCCTTGTAAATGCGTACATTGTTCTGTTACTGTTGTTTGTTTTGTCCAATCAGCATTTTGTTACACACTTTAAATTCAGCTTTGTACTTTGTATTATTCAGAACTGAAGATGACAGAAGAACTGTCCAAACAAGTGTCGTTCATTTTCCTAAATTCGTTACATATCTGCTTCTATCCAGACCTTTTGATATAATTATCTGGTTAAGAAACGTTTTGACAACAGGTCGAGCTCATTTTCAAGAAATGAAAAATTGAAAGATATTAAAAAAAAAGTCCAAGAGTTTTCCTGCCCTACCCTCCCCACCCCTGTAACACTAAAAATTAAACTACTCCTCATTTAAACTTCGAACATACTATAGGGTGGATATCATCACAAGACGTTTATTTTGTTCGATCAGTAAATCATTGTTACCTATAGCTTACACCAATTATGTAATCATTTCCATGTACCAGGCAGGATCAAACCCGGGCCTAATATTGCCGCTCATTATTCAGAGACACGTGGCTGTATTTACATGATAAACATGCATTCAAAAGCAATATCATACACTTTTAGCTTGTTTGTAAGTTCAAGCCTCCTCTTTTTCACGTAACAAGAAAGAAACAGTATTAACATTTTAATATATACCTCACGTTTATGGAAAGGCATAGCAACATTCTTCAGAAATTCGCTATACTCGAACAAGAAAAGGTGTTCCTTTCAAGACTCGTAAAAGTAAACTAGAAGAATGTATCCATAAATTTAATTCTAACTCGATAGGAGGATCCCTACAAAGAAATTGTTTTTCTTGAAGTTGTGGTGAAATCTCATCATTTACAAACTCCACCACCCTGCAATCGAGTGAAGCAAAAGCTGTTATGAACGGCCACTATTAAACAATGACTGCGCAGCCAAGGCTCAATTAATAATCCTAACAAGCCAGCGGTGATCGCACCAGCGCCGGTTGCAGCTGAAGCGTAACCGAGAACGAATTCTCGGGATCTCGGGTCCTCGATCTCGGAATAAACTGATAACATGTTCACATACATGATACCTATAATGATACCTCCGATGAAGGAGAGAATTAACACTATCGTAACATCAGTCAAAAAGCGGTACCAGGCTGCAAGCAAAAAGAAAACTAAAAGAGAAATCTCCGCCGCTGAGAGGAACCATATTCTACGCACTGTAAGCTTTTGGGCCAAGTTCGGCAGAAGATAAGAGAGAACGATTAAGTAGGATCTACCGAACAGTTCTCCGAACAAGAAGACGAAGATATAATATTGATAATGGTCCCGAGGTGGAAAAGGAGCGCTCGGAAACGCTATCGTAGTAACGACCGATTGAATTATCAAATATTCAGCGATCCACGCGCTGATTATGGAAGCGATAATCGGCCAAACTTTTTTGATTGCTGTGCATTTTTCCTTCCATGTTAAAAGATCATCACCAGGGTTTATGTCTTGTTCTTCTTCCTCAATTGGTGAATATTGAATGTCTTTGCGGGTGATTCCCTTTGCCGCAGCTTGACCATCCTGGGTATGCTTTCTCTCCATCAGAGCGTAGAAAATAAGCAAGAAAACCAAACTGACAGCCATAATGGAGATGGTTACGGAAGGAGAAACGCAAGCCCACGTTGTCATAGCTGTAAAAAAAGAGAGCGAAAGAGAAAAATTTCAGTGGGCTAGGGTACTCGCGTTGGATGAATAAGTTTTATTAAACATATTTTATCAGAAGTTCAATACCCCACGTTGATATTTTCAAGCAAAAGAAAGCGAAGTGCCTTATCAAGTTCACGAAATTAGACATTTAATTTTTTTCTACAAGAAAAAAAAGGGAAAACGTAAAATTAAAAGAAAAAAAAAGCAACAAAGTTTCCTTCAGCGGTTCAGCCAGTCTTTATTCCTTTAAGCCCCATCTACAACTGGGTGAGCTAGCTGTAAAAAAAGTCTTCCTCGCATTCCACAAAGTTTACAGAAAGCTTCGACCTCATGCACCCGACTTAAGCTTATCGAGCCTTAGGTGAATTGGCCATTTCTCTACAGTCCTAAGAAGCCTTTAATGTGATAACGAAAACCTCACAAGCACGATGTTACAGTCGCCGTGAGCTTTCGAAGTCTCAAATAACTTTATACAGGCCTGAATTTTTTTTCCGGTCTTATTTTTACTACATCTTGAGAAGTATTCATTACTGCGAAGATCGCTTTCATATTCTTTTTTTTAACCGCAATTCACATATATGATTTTCATAAAACCACAGTCATTTATACATTTTGTAGCTAACAGCACACGACAATATTAAGGAGCAACTCGAGAAAATCGTAACTCGTATGGCGGCAAATTTTATCTAGAGTTTCGTTGACTCGCCATAGTATCTCGGCAAAATGACAATCCAAGTTTTAAAGTTGTTCAAAACTCCTTAGTCACTGCTTGCTGCTTTTTATCAGATAACAATGAGAGATTTGGGAATTCTTAAATCAACTTTGGAAAGAGAGGGGTCACCAAGCTGACCACTGCGCGTAAGAAATCAGCTAGCCTGAACAGCTAAGTGAGCGTGAATTGACGTTTTTAGGGTGTATCTGTCCTTTAAGTAAATTTCCAGGTGATTCCAAACAGCCATAACACGGACCAAAGAAATTTTAGTGAAATCGCAGAGCACACTACTCATCAAAAGAGTAAACTAACTAGCACATGAAATTTTCATTTTGATCTGATAGCCATCAAATAAGTGTAAATACTTCTTCATAATTAAATTGACATCTCAGGCACAGGATCATATTCAGTATTTTCAAATGTTGATTTAGTCGGTTAAAATAGATAGATTGTCAGGCTGCTTTGGAATGTGTTTCTACCGTGTGTTTACTCATCGCCTTAGGGAAGGGTTGCATTGCACACGGTGACGAAGATAAAAAGTTATTTTTTAGAGAGATACCTGTGTAATAGAGCGGTGCCATTGATATACCAGTTCCTGTACCAGCTGAGAAGGCGCTAACAGCTGTTCCATGATAGAAAGACGTCATTGCAATAAAAGATAATTCTCCCAAACCAAATCCAAACGAGGAGAGAGAAATTCCCAATAACCTCACCCCAACGCGTTTAGCGGAAACTACCATTGTAAGTCCGGTAACCATAAGGAAAAATATGGCCAGTATGCGCGGGAAATATGCGATCTTTTGAATGAAGTACGGTGCTACAACAGTTATGATAAAATAAGGCCCGACATTGGCAACCAGCACGGCTGATGTTGGCACAAAGGTCCCAGCCAGGATGTCTTGAGCGCCTGATATTATCAATGAGTAGGTTGCGTAGATCAAGAAGCCGAAAACAAAGAAAGCACAAATCGTTCCTGGCTTTTCTCGTGATGTATCTGTGTCGGAGTTCGCAGGGAATAAATCCATAAGGGTCGCATGTTTTTCTTCGGTTTTGTCCTCCATTATAAGTTTCTCCTTACGGCGAGGGACAGAATGATACGTTTCCCCCGGATTACACGTAGAAAGCTTTTTTGCCACTAAATTATGCTGTTGTTGTGTCTGGAATGTTTCATATCTTCTCTCAAAGTTATCGTGTCTTCACTACAAGGAGTTTCCTTCTCTATTAGTTAACCGCGGATAAAACATCTGAACCTGGCGAAAATGAAACACATGTTAATATTGAGTGTGGACTAGCTTATGCAAATCAACATCAGTTTGAAACGTTTTTGAATAGTATTTGCCCTACGGATTAGCGTGGAACATGAAAGGAAAGGTGGCGAATCGGAACGTGCCTGTAAAACCACAAAGTCCGATCGCAACTAGTCGCGGTATATTGATCCGATCCGACTTTCATTTCCAATGTATACAATCACTAATTTCCGACCAAGTGGTCACCCGCAGTTTGGATTGTTGATGGTTCTTTGTTTATAATTTGGCCACTGAATATAATAGCTCACTCCTAGACACTCGTGTGTAAGATTATCCTTAAAGTAAAATAAGTCCAGCCCTGTATTTTACATAGAGGGCAATAACCTTTGGTTGAAAATGCGATCAAATCGACAGACACCTGTGAATTTTAACCACCTGCCTCGGTATCACCCAGTACGAGTACCCACGGTAATTTTTCTTCAACTTCTCTAGCGTTGACCCGTCTCCTAGATTATTCGCAGTTTCTTCATCCCCTGGGGAAGCTAATAAATCTACTGCAATTTTCACAATAGAAAGGTTCTATTCACTTGATCATCTGTCAGGTTTGTAAACGCAAACCTTTTCTTCGTATATGGGACTAACAAAGGACACGTGAACACATACAATTTGCAAAATCTTTGTTTAGGTTTAGGCGTCGACCTCAAAACTCCCGAAAAAATGTTATGAAATATATCTTTCGAACGAAAAAAAAATGGTAGCTTCCTATAAGGACTGAGACCCCAGTTTGATTTTTCGATCAACTATTCCGAGTTTGTAGGAATTGCAGTAAACCTGGAGAGCAGAAGGAAATTAATTCATGCTCTGAGGAAGCTTTGTTTCCTCAGAGCATGAATAGTCCAAGGTCGTCCAACCTTCTTTGCATATGAATTGAATAAGTTGAATTGTTTTATGTTCTGAAGCAAAACTTCTTGAAATTATCGAGCAAAGAAAGATGAACTTTTTGAGCCAATGAAACAGCTGTATCGAGAAGAGAATAAATTTTGAGAGCCTCGAAAAGAAGTCGAAAAAACTAATTTTCATACTCTGAACTGACCCTAAACTGGATAAGCTCAACCTTCTCTACAGTTTTTACGGACCAAGTCAAACAACGTTAACTGTTTTACCTTCGAATGCTGCCGTTTGTCAATAAGAGTCACTCTGCTTTTGCGCCGACTTCTTCGATGCCACTTGCCATTAGGGGCTAATCCAAGAAAACATGGTTCGTTTCTTTCTCAACTCGAGGATTTGGACTGAAAGTTCCCTGCACGATTTTAAGTAAGGTTTTCAACTGGCTGTTATCTTGTGTCACGTAAACAAGGTACGTAAATAATCGACATCGAATTCCTTGCGTGCCGCGCGCGGGGATTTGTGTAAATTCACAAGCCCAGACAGAATTACTTTGTTTCCTTTCTTTCTCCTTTTACTGGTGCTGATGCTAGAGAGAATGCCTGAGGCCCACTGCTTGCGTAAAACCGTGGTTTGAGTTAAACCTCATGTAAACTGCATGTAAAAGGGAGGTACGTTTCTAAAGAAACTGTGGTGCTACGTCAGTGGTGGGGTATCACAAGATAATTTGGCGTTATTAACTAAGTTTATAATGTATACTGGTCAAGAGAGGTTCTAAACCTGGCGTGTCAATCGTTAGCCCTTCGTTGAGGCGATTCAAATTATCAACTCAGTTGAGAAAACCAGATCTTCGTGCAGCCATTTATTTGCATTGCTATTGTTTTTAAACAACTTTGTCTCAATTAGAAGACACAAAAAAGTTTCGTCTAAATTTATCGAGTTGTGCATTTGCAGTTGGTCCTTAAACATCCTTCTAGACTCTGCACCTTTGTGATATTCGATCATCTCTGCAAACTTGTTTAAAAGGAGAAAATTATTTGCATGAATTATTTTACAATATTTTTGGTTTGATCATTCGGTTCATTTAATTTCTCCCTAATGTTAGTCTTGCACCCTCTTTTAAGGATAGTTAAACTGAACTATCTTTATCCTGAAGCTGTTTCTTTAACTTATGATAATACAATCTTATTGCGGCTAGTTAGAAGATTTACGCGTAACATTCATCAAGAATTCTCAGTCCAGTGGAGAAACTTGTCACATCTGAATTCACCAGAAATGCATTTCTAAATAATTTTTATTATGTCCATTTGTGAAATTAATGTAGATTGAAGTTGTGAGAGATTTAAAATTTTCTCCAGTATCTGGATTTTGAAATAATTGACACACAGCTAGCTAAGTGTTCATTTTATAGTGATAAATCCTTTTACAAGGAACGAACCTATCATAGGTTATCATAAGTTATTTTTTCCCAATCGAAATGAAACAGTAAAAGCGTGTGTCTAATGCCTAAAGTTCACCATAACGTTGTTTGATTAAAAAAAACAACAAAAATTAAAAGAAAAAATCATGTTCAGCTAAAAGGCAAATACTCCTCACTTCAACACATGCAGCGAGTGGAACGAATAAAATGGTGCCGTGATTTTCCGGTAGTTCTTGTTAAAACGGGAAGAGTGTTCCCTTTCTTAAGTTGAAAAGGCCGTTTCAATTTATTTCTCTCCAGTCACAGAAAACCGAATGGACCAAACTAATAAAAAGCATTCCATTCTCCCTTCTTTCGGCCCCAACCCCGTCGCGGCTGACTTCAGAGCGCAAGTAAAAACCGCTAGGCAACTTATCGATTGATTTTGGGTTACAATTTATTTTATTGGTTCATAGGTGACTGCACGAAACTTTTGTTGGGACGTTAGGGGACATCACCAGTAGCAACCTCGTTATGCGAAAGGCGCCAATAGTCTTAGATCACAAAAACTTCTTTGCTTTCGTTCTTCTCTCTACCATAATCAAAATGCTGTGCACTTCTATTCTCACTCATATGAGTTTTTTTAAACTTAGCAGTTGACACCCCACTCGTGCTTTATCCGAGACAGTCGCATACATTTGAGGGACTTAAGGCTTGACATAAGACATAAACCTCTGCAATCAGAATACAGCCACACATGTGAACCTCAGGCGGATAAAAGGGCCAGAAGTCTTGAGCAAATATACACTTAGCATTGTAATAACCTTAGAGACATAAATATTCGAGAGAGGATCAAAAGGAATTCATTGACTTATACCTAAACTACACAAGAGCACCATAAATATAGCTTCAGAGGCTTGAAGAGATTTCAATCATGTTTAAAAAAACAATATGAAGAAAATCGATCTTAAGACTGTGTTCTTGTAAAGCAGAAGTCTGTGTTATCCATGAGGATCATGCAATGTTCCCGTAACAGGGGTTCAACGTACAGGCCCAACACGGCGGCTGTTAAAACTCCTCCCGTTAAAGGTAGGTCGATGTATCCCATGGCAAACTCCTTGTACTTTTGTTGGAGACAATTTCTAAAAATTATCGCTACGTTAACATAAAAAGAACCCGCAGTCAAGCCGCAGACAAACATAAGGAGCAAAACGATCCATACACTCGGTAAAAAACGGTACCATGCAGCCAACACCAAAAACAAAAGATCCATGACTTCGACCAGACACAGAACCCAAAGGTATGGAAATTTAGCTTTCTCTCCCCAGTCTTTTTTAATGTAGGACAGCACTAAAAGGTAAGACCTCCCCACCATCTCACCCACCACGAATACAACAATGTAATACTCATAATGGTCACGAGGTTTGAAAGGAGAGCTGGGAAATGCCAGAGTTGTAATGACGGCTTGAATGATAATGTACTCAGAGAACCATGTAATAAACATTGGTAACATATAAGGCAGCAGCTGACAAATGACCATCATTTTTTCCCGCCAAGAAAGAGAGGTGCCTTCATCATTTTCTTCATCATCTTTGTTTGAGATGTCACACAAATTTTCTTTTGAAAGGAAAGAATAAAAAGAGAGTTACATCTTTATAATTTTACATCTTTGTTTAATTTTCAGCTACCGTTACCTTTGGGTGGGTAGTACTGTGCTTGAATACCTTAAGACTACAACATCAGAGCCTAAAGACATTTTGAATATAAACCCAATGGTTCGTTACGGGATCAATGATCCATGAAATAAGTTGACGTATCCATTGGTTGTCACTGAGTGCTCGGCTGAAAATTTTTCGATACCCGTTCCCGTGTAATTAGCAATTAATCGGACACAAAAATGCTTGTTCTGTATTTTGGGTATTTACCCACCAAGTATGGATAATAACTGGTCAGAAATCAATTTGATTACCATTTGCTTCCTCATTGAAACTGAATAATTATGTCTAGTAGAAAAAGCCCTACAGAATAGAACTAATACAATTTTATGAGGTTTCGACTGCACCATTTAAAATTTCTTCAACCTAAAGTAATTATCAAATTTATTTTCGATAATACAAATATTAATAAAATATTCAGACTTAGAACTCTAAACACCAAACATACCATTGGTCTCAAGAGCTGAGTAATGCACTCCACTAAGATCATCCGATAGAGAACTGGTGCACTTTGTCGCTGAGTTGTCGATGAAGTAAAAACAGACAAAGATCAGGACCATCATCGCTGCCATGATAAGAGTGGCAACCTTTGGTGATACGCAGGCCCATGTTGTCAAGGCTACAAAACAATAAAGAAAATCTTAAAGAAAGCAATGAAAGTAAATAGCATTGTTGCTAATCTCCTTAGTGTGGCAGTGCGCTGAACATTGTGATAAAATTTCTCGATAAAGTGCGGGCAATACCATATCAAGACTAATTTTAAATGGATTTAGCATTAGGAAATTGAAAATACCAAGAGTTTGAATTTCTAATAGGTTAGCCTAAACACTATATCTCAACACACACCTGTATAATACAAGGGTGCAATTGCAAATCCTACTCCCGTTCCCGCTGAGAACGCAGCTAATGTCAACTCGCCATGAAACGATGTTAAAGACAAAATTGTCGGTTCACCAAGGCCACCACCAACTGCAACCATTCCCACCCCGATTAACTTCCATTGAACTTGCCTCGCCAACGCGAGTACGATGACACCGGTGACAAAAAGGAAGAAGATAAGGAAAGCACGAACAACATATGGAATACGTTGCATGAAGTACGGTACGATTAGAGAAACAAGAAAAAATGGTCCAACGTTTGCAATTAGAACAACAGAAGTTGGAATATACGTTTCAGCTAGAATATCTTGAGCTGCTACCATGACCAGGGAGAAAATGATGTAAAGAAGAATTCCCAGCCCGAAAAACGCCATAACTTTGCGTAGTCGCTCGGGTTCAGGCTCGTAATATATCTTGAGGTCGCTACCATCGTTATGGTGCACAGGTTTCGTCTTAAAGTTTCCCATACCGAGAAGATTTATTACACCGTTAAGTTGATCGTGTCGTGGTTCTTTGGCAACTTCAGGCAAATGAGCAGCAAGAAGCTAATACGCAAAGTGGATTGGAAGTCGAATAAAAAAGCGTTTCTTCAGACTTTTCAGTCAAATCGTAGACACTTCCTCTACGCTTGAATGGGTTTGTCGATCTCCTTCGAAGCTGAAACTTCGTAGCGATTTTGTTAAGAGCCTAAACAAAGGTTGTTTAAGGAAACAGGTCCAAGGAAAATATGAAGCCTCGTGACGTTCAGCAATCACTGTATCTGCCACAAAACCTATGAATAGACCTCGCGTTTTAATGAAAGGATGATAATAGTCTATGCTAATCAATTAAATTCTGTTCTATTGCCAGCTTACCTGATGAAACAAAATCTGTCTTACCGCATCTTAAGACATTCATTTGCTCTGCTATTGATTTCAAGAAATTTCTCACTGTTGAGGGGCATTAAACAATTTTCCGAGGTGATTATTTGTAATCTGTGTTCTTGATAATCCTCATGTTCCGCACATCAGCACAGTCACTATAATGATCATATTCCAGACACTTCGTGATATCATGTTACGACATTACTCAACAATCTATGCAAAATCGCTCAAATGGAGAAAAATATTAGCATAATCAATTTTATCAATTATTTTGTTGTGATCATTCAGTATGATTTACTTCGATGTATGTTAATCTCTTTCTCCTTTTAAAACACCCGTAATCTCAAAGCTAGCTCTCTCGACTGCTGCAGATCATTAATCCTACTTGGCAACATCCTTTGGCCTGAGAATTTGTTGTAATATACCGGAATTCACAAAGAACGCATCGGTAATTAATGTCCTGTGGAGATTGCATTGTACTGAATGCATTGTCTCGAAAGAAGTATAGTGTGCCCATTTTGCATAGGTATTTTTTAAGCTGTCGATCCGGTAGGAATAACTTTCTAACGTAATTGATTTCTGAAAATTAGTTTAGCTTTTACATCGTGTTTGTGAACTCTAAAAAGCCTTCGGAAAGAATTCAGTGTAACCCCAAGCTGTTCTAACGCAAGTGAATAAAGGGGGTAATTTTCCAAAGAATTGTGGTGCTGCGTCGGGGGAATGTATTACAAGATAATTTGGTTTTATCAACTGAGTTGATAATGCAAATTGGCCACCGTGGACAAACTCTAAAGCTGACGTTTAGGACGTTAGCACTTCGTCAGAGCGTCTGACAAAAGGCTAACGCTCGGAACGTCAGCTTCAGAAACTCTCTAAGGTGGCCAATTTACATTATCAGCTCAGTTAAACCAAATTGTCTTATTCTAAAACAAAACCGCAGTTCCAAAGAAATTTCTATTGTTTTCGCGATTACTTTCTTTAACGAAGAAGTGGGAGGAAATCTTGCTAAGCCTTAGCGTCTAAATTGTAACACTAATACGCATACTCTTCGTCAACTACGTAATATGTATATACAGAGAGAGAGAATAATGCATAGGCGAGCGTAGATATGGAATTTCTCTTCGAGTGTTTAACTCGATACCTCACGAGTGAGCGCAGCGAACGGGTGAGATGTCGAGTTAAACACGAGAGGAGAAATTTTATATCTACAAGCAACCATGTATTATTTTGTTTGTCATAAAGACACAATAGCCTTTCATTGGCAAGAAAAGTCGACTTTATTGACGAATGAAAATAAGAGGATCGACCACCCCCCGAATAAAAATTGTAAAGAGCGTTGGCGCTAAGGCTCAAGATGAAAAATGCGTTGAATCATTACAAAAACAACAATGGGTGTAATTTTTTTTGCTAAAAGCGGCCTGCGGGAAATCTTCCAGTTGTCGATTTTCATTCCCAGCCGCGAGAATTGCCTTTACCAAAGCCACTAAATACGTAAGTTTCGGTTGTTTTCTCTCGTATTTTGGTTTTCTTTCCCTCCCAGAAAAGTTTGAACGTCACTGTCGGTAGCGATACGAATTTTTCAGTGTTTTAGCAGCCATAATCCGAGAAAATTCCGACAAACAACCGCGGATTAAGAATGGTGAAGGCTTTGCCGTTTATTCATCAACCTGACCGAGTGGCGCGAAAGGCGAGTGATGTGTCAGCAGCTGATTAGCGATATCAAACATACGTGAAAAAATACTTTATTTTTTCGCATGTGTTGTTACGGCTTTTCTCAGGGCTAGAAATCCTTGTCCAACACCGTAATTATTTTTTACAAAAGAAATGAAACCCTAGATTGGCAGCAAACTTAGGGCATATTATCCGAGTGACCATATGGGATAAAAAGTCTCGACGAATTGATCCCGAACAATGTCTAATTTTTATTAACGCTCACGATAGTTTCCACTACATTAAAATAAACTTAAAATGTTCCAATTTTCTATGCCGGGATTTAACGGTGCAATAAACGATAGAAAGAGATTTATATTCTCTTGACGATAGGTTCTTGACCAATCATTGTGCTCGTGAAATCTCAATCATTCTATAACAATGGATGATTTCGAAAGATCATTAGTGATGTATAATATCAGTGAATGATATTATGTGAAGGTGAAGGTGAAGGTGCGCTCTGATGGTAACAAATGTCTTGTGATGGCGAATAATGGCCTCGGACGGCGAGTGATTTCTTGTGACGGTAAACGATGTCTAGTGACGGGGAATGATATCTAATGACGGCAAATGATTTCCTAGGACGGTGCAGATTTCTTATGACGGTCAATGGTTTCTAGGAATAGTAAATGCTGTCTTTTGACCTTCAATGATGTTAAATGACTTTATATAATGTCTAGACTTTATGTGCGGAGCTGACTTTAACCATTGGGAGACCAAGAGCAACAACATGCATTAAGATAATGCTAAACTTGACCCGCAGATAGGTAAACTGTGTATTCCATTACCTAGAGTCAAATAGATTGTTACAGTGTTTTTTTCCTAATTCCGGAAAAAGCAAGGAAATAAATCCTTTTTGTGCCGTTGAAAAGGCCTGTCTGTTTTATTTCCCGCGGAAAAAAGATATTTCAATACTATAAAATAGAAAGCGTATACATCTCTAGATCTAGAGCACACACAAATCCGTAACCAACGAGGCCACTAACGTACCAAGGTCAGCTTGTAAGGCTCAGGATTGATTTTGGTCCACGAGTTCGTGACCAAACAACCGCCTAACTACAAAAGCCTGAATTGAGAGATGTCATGCGCGTTTTACTAAACAAGATGAAGTAAAACGATCCTAAAGCTGTGATCTTGTTAAGCAGAAGTCGGTGTTATCCATGAGGGTTGGGCAGTGTTTACGTAACAAAGGCTCAGTATAGAGGCCCAACATGGCTGCTGTTAACATACCTCCACCCCAGGCTACAGCACCATATCCCATGGCAAACTCCATGTACCTTTTCTGGAAAAGATTTCTGAAAAATGTCACCACGTTGACATAAAGAACACCAGCGACTATTCCGCTGATAAACACAAGGAGAAGAACGATCCAAACACTCGATAAAAAGCGGTACCAGGCCGCAAGAACCAAAAACAGAAGATACATGGTTTGAACCATACATAGAATCCAAATGTATGGGAATTAAGCTTTTTCGCCCCAGTCTTTGTTAATGTAAGATAGCGTTGCAAGATACGATTTCCCCATTACACCAACCATCACACTGTTCAAGCTGTTAACGCAGACAATACCAGCTCGCCATGAAACGAAGTCAAAGACAAAATTGTCGCCTCGCCAAGGCCAGTCCCAAATGAAATCATCCCCGATCCAATAAACTTCCAGTAACTTGCCTTGCCATGATTACTGTTAGGACCACAGCAGTTGGAATATTTTTCGCGGCTATGATATCTTCAGAGGCAACTGCGACCAAGGAAATTGTGGTGTGAAGAAGAATTCCAGCCCGAAAAACGCTGCCATGGTGCGCGGTCGCTCGCGTTTAGACCGTTAAAACGGTTCATTTATTTCGAGTTCGTTACTACCGTCATGGTCCAATGATGCCGCCTCGTGGTTTTTTCGTACCAAGATTTTACTATACTGTAAAGGTGACGTCGTTGTGGTAATTGGGCAGGTTTTGGCTGGTGAGCAATTAAAAGCTTGTGCCTAACCTTGATCGGCAGTCGAAAAGTACTTACCTTTCCAAAATATTTTTCTTTAGAGTTTCCAAAGCTTGTCCTCTTCGTTCGGATGAGTTTGTCAAGCTCTCTCAGTGAAAAGTCCGTAGTTTGTTTCAGGGATAAGATGAAGCTTCGTAACTTTCAGATTATCATTTTATTGATCCACAAACCTATTTCGAGTGAAATAAAAGATACATGCGACTAAGCGATTATTATCTGCCATCCTATAGTTATCGCATAAATTGCATTCTTATGTATTCTTTCCTGGTCAGAAAGATCTTTTTAATGAGTCATTGATTTGCATTTTTAGTAAAAGACCTTTGTCATAGTTACTGAGCCTCCAAAAAAGGTTTCGTATTTATTTTTCGAGTTGGTCATTTGCAATCAGTATCCTTAACCATCCTAAGGTTGCGCACAGAAAGTAATTATTCGATACTTTGTGGTGATCCTGCGACTAGATTCGACCATCTGTATAGACTCACCCAAATGGAAAAAATAATGTCATAATCATCTCACTTGCTCCAATCATTCAATCAGTAATGTCTCTCTGACTTTGATGCAATATTGAGCCAACCTATTCCTATAGTAAAATCATTTTTCTTCCTTAGATTATTTAAAATTTCGGCGCCTTTTCTTCGCTTGAATAGTTACTATAAAAAGATTCTAAGGGAAATCGTCGAAACTGTCAATCGAAATTGTACTAATCTTTTTACGGTCGCCAATTCCCATTCACGACTCAGTTGATAATGCCAAATTATCTCGTAAACCCCCCCCCCCCTCCCCCTTCCACCCACTCTGCCACTCTGATGTGGCGCCACAGTTTCCTCAGAAACGTATCCCCCTTAATTCGCTTGATTGGATGTCCCCTAAAAAGTTTGTTATCTGTCCTCAATACGTTAAATTCTCGTTTAACTAACAGGCCTACATCGACCAAAATAAACCCGTGTATGCAAGTAAGCGATGTTAATCAGCAATCACATAGTTCTGTTTTTTTATTATTCTTTCCTGGACACAGAGACCTTGATTATAAATCAGTGACTGGCACGATCCTGTTTTTACAGGAGCTCTGTTATAGTTGAACCTTGAAAATCGAGTTTAAATTTTTCGAAATAAGCATATGAACTCTGTGTCTTTTCTAAGAACATCTACAGCGACCACTTCATTCAGGACGAAACACCTATCAACTTATTGCACGCAGACCGATCACTTCAATACATATATTACTGATTAACTTCAAAAACAAAGACAATGAAGAATTTACTGTACTTCGAACAACGAAGAATGAGCAGCATACAAGATCAAGCGCTCCAAAAGAGTCTGACAGGAACCTCAACTCAACCCTGACTGAACACAAACGAGCGACGAGAAATGTTAATGTCAACAATCACATTGCTGAACATCATCAACTAACAAACCAAAGCATCGACTGTACTTCCGCTAATGTCATCTGCTGCATCGCATGAACTAATCGCAAAATGTCATTCATCGGTGAAACGGGAAGACGACTAAAGGCATGACAAAGATGCATCTTAAACCAGTCGCTAGACATGTTAACCATTTCATTGAGCTAATTTATTCTTGTGTTTTTCACGTTGCCATGTACCAACCAATAGTGTAGCTACATTTTTTTTGTATATAAACAACGCACAACCTAACTACAAAAGCCTAAATTGAGAGATGTCATGCGTGTTCTACAATAGTGTAGCTCCATTTTTTCTGTGTATAAACCACGCATAGCCTGTATCTGCTTAAACGAAGGGCCGAAGCTCAAAACGTCAGTTTTAGAATACAACCACGTATATGAACCTTAGGCGGATAAAAGGGCCAGAAGTCTTGAGCAAATATAACACTTAGCATTGTAATAACCGTAGAGACATGAATATTCTAGAGAGTATCAAAAGGAATTCATTGACTCATACCTAAACTACACAAGAGCACCATAAATATAGCTTTAGAGGCTTGAAGAGATTTCAATCATGTTTAAAAAAACAATATGAAGAAAATCGATCTTAAGACTGTATTCTTGTAAAGCAGAAGTCTGTGTTATCCATGAGGATCATGCAATGTTCACGCAACAGGGGTTCAACGTACAGGCCCAACATGGCGGCTGTTAAAACTCCTCCCGTTAAAGGTAGGTCGATGTATCCCATGGCAAACTCCTTGTACTTTTGTTGGAGACAATTTCTAAAAGTTATCGCTACGTTAACATAAAAAGCACCCACATTAAAGCCGCAGACAAACACAAGAAGCAAAACGATCGATACACTCGGTAAAAAACGGTACCATGCAGCCAACACTAAAAACAAAAGATCCATGACTTCGACCAGACACAGAACCCAAAGGTATGGAAATTTAGCTTTCTCTCCCCAGTCTTTTTTAATGTAGGACAGCACTAAAAGGTAAGACCTCCCCGCCATCTTACCCACAACGAATACAACAATGTAATACTCATAATGGTCACGAGGTTTGAAAGGAGAGCTGGGAAATGCCAGGGTTGTAATGACGGCTTGAACGATAATGTACTCAGAGAAACATGTAATAAACAATGGTAACATATGAGGCAGCAGCTGACAAATGACCATCATTTTTTCCCGCCAAGAAAGAGAGGTACCTTCATCATTTTCTTCATCATCTTTGTTTGAGGTGTCACACAAATTTTCTTTTGAAAGGAAAGAATAAAAAGAGAGTTACATCTTTATAACATCCTTGTTTAATTTTCAGCTACCGTTACCTTTGGGTGGGTAGTACTGTGCTTGAATACCTTAAGACTACAACATCAGAGCCTAAAGACATTTTGAATATAAACCCAATGGTTCGTTACGGGATCAATGATCCATGAAATAAGTTGACGTATCCATTGGTTGTCACTGAGTGCTCAGCTGAAAATTTGTCGATACCGGTTCCCGTTTAATTAGCAATTAATCGGACACAAAAATGCTTGTTCTGTATTTTGGGTATTTACCCACCAAGTATGGATAATAACTGGTCAGAAATCAATTTGATTACCATTTGCTTCCTCATTGAAACTGAATAATTATGTCTAGTAGAAAAAGCCCTACAGAATAGAACTAATACAATTTTATGAGGTTTCGACTGCACCATTTAAAATTTCTTCAACCTAAAGTAATTATCAAATTTATTTTCGATAATACAAATATTAATAAAATATTCAGACTTAGAACTCTAAACACCAAACATACCATTGGTCTCAAGAGCTGAGTAATGCACTCCACTAAGATCATCCGATAGAGAACTGGTGCATTTTGTCTCTGAGTTGTCGATGAAGTAAAAACAGACAAAGATCAGGACCATCATCGCTGCCATGATAAGAGTGGCAACCTTTGGTGATACGCAGGCCCATGTTGTCAAGGCTACAAAACAATAAAGAAAATCTTAAAGAAAGCAATAAAAGTAAATAGCATTGTTTCTAATCTCCTTAGTGTGGCAGTGCGCTGAACATTGTGATAAAATTTCTCGATAAAGTGCGGGCAATACCATATCAAGACTAATTTTAAATGGATTTAGCATTAGGAAATTGAAAATACCAAGAGTTTGAATTTCGAAAAGGTTAGCCTAAACACTATATCTCAACACACACCTATATAATACAAGGGTGCAATTGCAAATCCTACTCCCGTTCCCGCTGAGAACGCAGCTAATGTCAGCTCGCCATGAAACGATGTTAAAGACAAAATTGTCGGTCCACCAAGGCCAGCACCAACTGCAACCATTCCCACACCGATTAACTTCCATTGAACTTGCCTCGCTAACGCGAGCACGATGACACCGGTGACAGAAAGGAAGAAGATAAGGAAAGCACGAACAACATATGGAATACGTTGCATGAAGTACGGTACGATTAGAGAAACAAGAAAATTTGGTCCAATGTTTGCAATTTGAACAACAGAAGTTGGAATATACGTTTCAGCTAGAATATCTTGAGCTGCTACTATGACCAGGGAGAAAATGATGTAAAGAAGAATTCCCAGCCCGAAAAACGCAATAACTTTGCATAGTCGCTCGCGCTCAGGCTCGTGATATATCTTGAGGTCGTTACCATCGTTATGGTGCACAGGTTTCGTCTTAAAGTTTCCCATACCGAGAAGATTTATTACACCGTTAAGTTGATCGTGTCGTGGTTCTTTGGCAACTTCAGGCAAATGAGCAGCAAGAAGCTAATACGCAAAATGGATTGGAAGTCGAAAAAAAAAGCGTTTCTTCAGACTTTTCAGCCAAATCGTAGACACTTCCTCTACGCTTGAATAGGTTTTTCGATCTCCTTCGAAGCTGAAACTTCGTAGCGATTTTGTTAAGAGTGTAAACAAAGGTTGTTTAGGGAAACAGGTCCAAGGAAAATATGAAGCCTCGTGACGTTTAGCAATCACTGTATCCGCCACCAAAACCTATGAATAGACCTCGCGTTTTAATGAAAGGATGATAATAATCTATGCTAATCGATTAAATTCCGTTCTATTGCCAGCTTACCTGATCAAACAAAATCTGTCTTACCACATCTTAAGACATTCATTTGTTATTGATTTCAAGAAATTTCTCACTGTTGAAGGGCATTAAACAATTTGCCGAGGTGATTATTTGTAATCTGTGTGCTTGATAATCTTATGTTCCGCACATCAGCACAGTCACTATAATGATCATATTCCAGACACTTCGTGATATCACAAGTGTTACGACAATACTCAACAATCTATGCAAAATCGCTCAAATGGAGAAAAATATTAGCATAATCAATTTTATCAATTATTTTGTTGTGATCATTCAGTATGATTTACTTCGATGTATGTTAATCTCTTTCTCCTTTTAAAACACCCGTAATCTCAAAGCTAGCTCTCTCGACTGCTGCAGATCATTCATCCTACCTGGTAACATCCTCTTACCTGAGAATTTTTTTGTTATATACTGGAATTCACAAAGAACGCATCGGTAATTAATGTCCTGTGGAGATTGCATTTTTTGCATTTTACTGAATGCATTGTCTCGAATGAAGTGTAGTGTGCCCATTTTGCATAGGTATTCTTTAAGCTGTCGATTCGGTAGGAATAACTTTCTAACGTAATTGATTCTGAAAATTAGTTTAGCTTTTACATCGTGTGTGTGAAGTTTAAAAAGCCTTCGAAAAGATTTCAGTGTAACCCCAAGCTGTTCTCACGCAAGCGAATAAAGGAGGTGTGAGTCACGAGTGAGCGCAGCGAACGAGTGAGATGTCGAGTTAAACACGAGAAGAGAAATTCCAAATCTACAAGCAACCATGTATTATTTTGTTTGTCATATAAGCACCATAGCCTTTCACTGGCAAGAAAAGTCGACTTTATTGACGAATGAAAATAAGAGGATCGACCACCCCCCAATAAAAATTGTAAAGTGCGTTGGCGCTAAGGCTCACGATAAAAAATGCATTGAATCATTACAAAAACGAGTGTAATTTTTTGCCAAAAGCGGCGTGCGGAAAATCTTCCAGTTGTCGATTTTCATTCCCAGCCGCGGGAATTGCCTTTACCGAAGCCACTAAATACGTAAGTTTCGGTTTTTTTTCCTTCGTATTTTGGTTTTCTTCCCCTCCCAGGAAAGTTTGAACGTCACTGTCGGTAGCGATAGGAATTTTTCAGTATTTTAGCAGCCATAATCCGAGAAAATTCCGACAAACAACCGCGGATTGAGAATGGTGAAGGCTTTGCCGTTCATTCATCAACCTGACCGAGTGGCGCGAAAGGCGAGTGATGTGTCAGCAGCTGATTAGCGATATCAAACATACGTGAAAAAATACTTTATTTTTTCACGTGTGTTGTTACGGCTTTTCTCAGGGCTAAAAATCCTTGTCCAACACCGTAGTTATTTTTTACAAAAGAAATGAAACCCTAGATTGGCAGCAAACTTAGGGCATATTATCCGAGTGACCATATGGGATAAAAAGTCTCGACGAATTGATCCCGAACAATGTCTAATTTTTTGTAACGCTCACGATAGTTTCCACTACATTAAAATAAACTAAAAATGTTCCAATTTTCTATGCCGGGATTTAACGGTGTAATAAACGATAGAAAGAGATTTATATTCTCTTGACGATAAGTTCTTGACCAATCATTGTGCTCGTGAAATCTCAATCATGCTATAACAATGGATGATTTCGAAAGATCATTAGTGATGTATAATATCAGTGAATGATATTATGTGAAGGTGAAGGTGAAGGTGCGCTCTGATGGCAACAAATGTCTTGTGATGGCGAATAATGGCCTCGGACGGCGAGTGATTTCTTGTGACGGTAAATGATGTCTACTGACGGGGAATGATGTCTAATGACGGCATATGATTTCCTAGGACGGTGCAGATTTCTTATGACGGTCAATGGTTTCTAGGAATAGTAAATGCTGTCTTTTGACCTTCAATGATGTTAAATGACTTTATATAATGTCTAGTCTTTACGTGCGGAGCTGACTTTAACCATTGGGAGACCAAGAGCAACAACATGCATTAAGATAATGCTAAACTTGATCCGCAGATAGGTAAACTGTGTATTCCATTACCTGGAGTCAAATAGATTGTTACAGTGATTTTTTCCTAATTCCGGAAAAAGCAAGGAAATAAATCCTTTTTGTGTCGTTGAAAAGGCTGTTTTATTTCCGGAAAAAAGAGATTTCAATACTATAAAATAGAAAGCGTATGCATCTCTAGATCTAGAGCACACACAAATCCGTAACCAACGAGGCCACTAAGCTTCGTAACTTTCAGATTATCATTTTATTGATCCACAAACCTATTTCGAGTGAAATAAAAGATACATGCGACTAAGCGATTATTATCTGCCATCCTATAGTTATCGTATAAATTGCATTCTTATGTATTCTTTCCTGGTCAGAAAGATCTTTTTAATGAGTCATTGATTTGCATTTTTAGTAAAAGACCTTTGTCATAGTTACTGAACCTCCAAAAAAGGTTTCGTATTTATTTTTCGAGTTGGTCATTTGCAATCAGTATCCTTAACCATCCTAAGGTTGCGCACAGAAAGTAATTATTCGATACTTTGCGGTGATCCTGCGACTAGATTCGACCATCTGTATAGACTCACCCAAATGGAAAAAATAATGTCATAATCATCTCACTTGCTCCAATCATTCAATCAGTAATGTCTCTCTGACTTTGACGCAATATTGAGCCAACCTATTCCTATAGTAAAATAATTTTTCTTCCTTAAATTATTTAAAATTTCGGCGCCTTTTCTTCGCTTGAATAGTTACTATAAAACGATTCTAAGGGAAATCGTCGAAGCTCTCAATCGAAACTTTACTAATTTTTTTACGGTGGTCAATTCCCATTCTCGACTCAGTTGATAATGCCAAATTATCTCGTAGACCCCCCTCCCCCCCTTCCACCCACTCTGCCACTCTGATGTGGCGCCACAGTTTCCTTAGAAACGTATCCCCCTTAATTCGCTTGATTGGATCTCCCCTAAAAAGTTTGTCATCTGTCCTCAATACGTTCAATTCTCGTTTAACTAACAGGCCTACATCGACCAAAATAAACCCGTGTATGCAAGTAAGCGATGATAATCAGCAATCACATAGTTCTGTTTTTTTATTATTCTTTCCTGGACACAGAGACCTTGATTATAAATCACTGACTGGCACGATCCTGTTTTTACAGGAGCTCTGATATAGTTGAACCTTGAAAATCGAGTTTAAATTTTTCGAAATAAGCATATGAACTCTGTGTCTTTTCTAAGAACATCTACAGCGACCACTTTATTCAGGACGAAACACCTATCAACTTATTGCACACAGACCGATCACTTCAAAACATCAATTACTAATTAACTTCAAACAGGAAGACGAACCGAACAACGAAGAATGAGCAGCATACAAGATCAAGCGCTCCGACAGAGTCTAACAGGAACCTCAACTCAAGCCTGACTGAACACAAACGAGCGACGAGAAATGTTAATGTCAACAATCACATTGCTGAACATCATCAACTAACAAACCAAAGCATCGGCTGTACTTCCGCTAATGTCATCTGTTGCATCACATGAACTAATCGCAAACTGTCATTCATCGGTGAAACGGGAAGACGACAAGGCGACCTTCATGACATGGAAAGGAATGACAAAGATGCACCTTAAACCAGTCGCTAGACATGTTAACCTTTTCATTGAGCTAATTTATTCTTGTGTTTTTCACGTTGTCATGTTCCAACCAATGGTGTAGCTCCATTTTTTCCGTATATAGACCACGCACAACCTGTATCTGCTTAAACGAAGGGCCAAAGCTCGAAACGTCAGCTTTAGAAAATCTTTACTGTGACCAATTTACTTTATCAACACAAACCACAGTATCCCCTACCGACACAGCACAACAATTTCTTAACAAAGTTACCCCCTTTACACGATCAAATGTTCACTCCCTGTACTAAGAGGGTGTTAGAGAGGCTCAATTGAACGAAATCCTAGAAGCGAACAGAGACTAAGCTACCACTGGTAGCTACTAGTAAAATTATATCAATCCAAGGGAAGTTTATTTAAAGTTTAAAAAGTCAGTAAGCACAAGCGCACAGGTACAGAAACGAACGGAGATGTCAGTTTCATTTTACTAAACAAGATGAAGTAAAACCATTTTAAGACTGTGATCTCGTAAAACAAAAGTCTGCGTTATCCACGAGGGTCATGCAGTGTTCACGTAACAAGGGCTCGATGTACAGGCCCAACATGGCGGCTGTCAGTACCCCTGCATGCAAGCTTACAATGATATATCCCATGGCAAACTCTCTGTACCTTTCCTGGAAACAATTTCTGAAAAATATTACGGTGTTGACATAAAAGGCACCAACAACCACTCCTGAGGTAAACACAAGGAGCAAAACAATCCAGACACTCGATAGAAAACGGTACCAGGCTGCTAGCACCAAAAACAGAAGATCCATGATTTGAACCAGACACATAATCCAAGGGTAAGGAAATTTAGCCTTGTCTCCCCAGTCTTCTTTTATGCAGGACAGCACTCCAACATACGACCTCCCCACCACCTCCCCTACCACGAATACAAGGATGTAATACTCATAATGGTCACTTGGGCTGAAAGGGCAGCTGGGAAATGCCAGGGTCGTGACGACGGCTTGAATGATGAAATATTGTGCGAAAAATGTAAAAAAAATTGGTATCATTTGAGGTAGCATCTGACGAATGACCGTGAACTTTTGGCGCCTAGAAAGAGAGGTATCTTCGCCTATTTCGTCATAATCTTCGTTTGAGGTGTCGTATACATTGTGTGCTATAAGGTATGAACAAAGGAGGTTCATCCAGTTAACAATGGAACCTGTAGTAACTTATCGCCGGCAGGGGATCAGAAGATTATGAGGGGAATCACAATTTAATCAGGGGGAACTGGGAGGGAATCAGCGGTCGTTAACAAATTTTACAAGGGGACTATAAAAAACTGACTGCCAGTGAGGGGTGTCATAGGAATACTACAGAGCCTTGGGGGGGAGGGGATCAGGTAAATTTTAATATGACATGGCGAATTCACTAATGTCATCGATGGTATGGATTAGTTATACCTGGTAAAACTCATCGCACTTTTCATGGGATGATGGTGGTTGCAAAATCTGCAGACTTAACTGAATGTAAATGCTGAACTTACCATCAGTATTTAAAGCTAAGAAGCGCATTCCAACATGCTCAGCAGTTAAACAAGTAGGTGGCTTTGACTCTGAATTTCCAGTGGCGTAATAACAAACGAAGATCAGAACCATCATGGCTGCCATAATACAATAGGTGGCTTTTGGTGAAATGCAGGCCCACCTAGTCATCGCTAAAGAAAAAAATATTCGAGTGTTAACGCTTTGATTCCCATGAGTGACAATTATTTTTTGGGAGTTGAAAGGTTAAGGGAATTTTTTTATATGATTTACACTGTACCTTCGCACTTTCCGAGGCTAAATTGAAACAAAACTTAAACTCGATTGCAGATGAAGATATAATTATTTTCGAAAAAACAACACATTTGCATTTTAGACTCATTGTTTTGATAACCAATCAAACTAAAAGTCGTAATCGTTAAGTAGTATTTTTCTTCCTTCGCAAAATATGGTTTTGAAAATCAATAATCAAAGTTGAGAAAAAATTTAAAGTTGAACCTTAAGCAGTTCAGCCTAACTTAACATGCCAAGACACACCTGTATAATATAGGGGTCCTACTGCAAATCCTACTCCTGTTCCTGCTGAAAACGCGGTCAGTGTTAACTCGCCATGAAACGAAGTCAAAGACAGTACCGTCACTTCGCAAGCGCTAGCTGCAAATGAAATCATCACTACTCCAATGAGTTTCCAATAAAGTTGTTTTACGAGTGCAAGCATGATGAGTGCGCTGACATTTAGCAGATAGACAAGAGCAATGCGGCCAACATATGGGATGCGCTGCATAAAGTATGGCACAATCAGAGAGACAAGGAAGGCCGGTAGAGTGTCTGCAATAAGAACCGTAGAAGTTGGAAAGTACGTTTCCGCCAAAATATCTTGAGTAGCAGCTGTAACCAAGGAGAACGTAGTGTTGATTAAACTTCCCAATCCGAAAAATGCTGCCACTTTGCCTAGTCCCGCGCGTTCAGGCTGGTGATTTGCTGTCAGTTCGTTATCGCCTCTTTCATCCAATAGTTTCACCTTGTGGTTTTTCATATCAATATTTTGCTACACTATGAAATTGACGTTGTTGTACTGAAGCAACTCTTGGCTGATTAGAAAGAAGCCTCTTCTTTGGCATCTGTTTAAATTGCCGTCTCCCTGGAAGTTTCGTAATTTGTTATGAATTAGATCAATGCTCGCCAAGAGATACAAGTCCAATGAGAACTGAAACCTTTATGTTATTTAGCTTATCGTTTTATCCATCAAAAAATATTTATCGAATAAAATAACAGTACGTGCGATAAACCGTGATAATCAGCTGTGCTAATAACTTGAATTATTATGTGGCAAGGTTGTCCTAAAGTAAAACCGACCGTTCTGATTGGTTCTTGCTTCCTCCGTATTTTCCATACGGATCGTTTCCACGGAAACGGTCATAGGCCGTATATATTTGTTCGCAAAAGCTGGCAAATTCCAAATAAACAAGTTTCTCCAACTGCCATTAAATAAACTAATTACTATCTTTGCTTGCTCGAGCCTTACTGGGGAATATTGGCCCTCGATCGCTTTTGCACGGACCTCGCTGCGCTTGGTTCCTACTGTCACGACCTCGGGCCAATATTCCCCAAAACGGCCCCCACAGAAGGTAATCATATTCTTATTCCGGCTCTCCCTGATTATTAACCATTGATTTTCATCGCTATTGTTCTTTAAGAAGCTTTGTTATCGTTCAAACATCTTGAAAACTTCTGTCTTAATTTTTCTAATTTTCCCATTGAAATCTGTGTGCTTAAACATTCTGGAGTCCCACACATGAAGTCATTACGGTAATACGAAAATTGACCCTTTGCACAAAAGGCGAAAAATATATTGGCATACAAGAGAATATCAACTGATTAATATTCTCTTGCTTGCCATATAAAATATTACCTTTTATTGTGCCCGTCAATGTAACATGCAGGTGTTTTCTCCAATGTCGAGTCGATGAAAATATTTTTTTCTCGTGATTAAGTTTGAAATATGTTCCAAAAAAGTTCAGTATAAATTTGTAACAAGCTTCAGTCTGTTAAAAATCAAGTGAACTTAAAGATGTCCACAGGGAAATAGCATAAGGAAATATATATTCACTGGACATCTGCTTTATAGTCACTCATGAATTTTTCGATGCACAAAATTGCTGTAAATGGACACATCAATTCAACTAATAATTTTCTGTTCATCAATTTGGTTTTGGGATTCTAGTAAGGAAAACATAAATCATGATTTTGTCATAGACGACAAGATGTCAAAGAAGATATCAATCATCTCTCTTTTAATTTTTTCACAATTATTTAGTGTGAAAATTGTCTTCCTCATGTGAGTGATGCTCAGTACACCTTTACAGTACTTTATTTTAAGTTAATTTTTTAACAGGACTTCTAGAAAATTACCTCCCCTTTATTTCTGATTGTTTAGTTCACTTTTCGAGTTATTTTTGTGCCGAATTTACCATCAGAGAAGAGTTTGTCTAATGTGGTTTCCAGAGATTTCTCACTCGTGAACAAGATGGCTTATAGAGTTCTTTCTTTCATCTTCCAAACTGAATCTGTAGACAGTTTCTTATCTTCGTCGGAAGTCAGTGTTCACAATAAACCTACTTTATTAATTTATGGAAATAAAAGTACAATTTGTGTATAAACAAACTTTCGTTTGTAACGAAATGCCTTTTGATATGTGCCAAAATGACTCTCACTTGCAGCGGAATGATTTTCGGCTAACTATGAACACCGTACAGTGATATAGTCGTCCTTCTTCGGGACAAGGTCGAGACAAGGTCGTATTCTGTCGGGATTCGCCGCTACACAATCGCACTGTTCCTCGCTAAACATCATTTCTCTGAATCGTGCGAATTACAATTTGTTTATTTCAATAAGTTGCTAAATCGATTCAGATTTATTTTACATTAATTTGAATGTCACATTTTCTGAATTGCTCTGAAAAGATCGTTGAATTTCGTATTAGTATGATACAACTATGACATTTATTTGTGTATCGTGCAGAATATCCTTCGAAAGAAACCCGGCACTTTAGGATAAGTTTTGTTTGGTTGGCAAAAAAATATTTTTCAGTGTTCTAAGATAGTAAACTATTTTTTATTTCTTAGTGGTTTTATGGGGAGCGGGATTAAAATCAATCTCCATTCATGCGTCAAAATATCATTATTTCCTTCACTGCGGTTTGCACTCTCGATCTTTGATTACTTTATTTACATCCATACGAAGACACCTTTTTTCATCGTGGTGTTTATACGAATTCTTCCTTTCCGCGGCGGGTCGCGAAAAACTCAGATTTGTATCTCAGCCAACACCTGGTAAGATTAGGGAGTTTGACTGATTATTGATTTTTCAAAACCATATTTTGCGAAGGAAGAAAAATACTTAACGATTACGACCTTAAGTTTGATTGGTTATCAAAACAATGAGTCTAAAATGCAAATGTGTTGTTTTTTCGAAAATAATTATATCTTCATCAATAATTCTTTTGCTCTTTTATGCCTTGGTGATCAGAGAAAATATCATTTTTTCTCTCGAGGCTTCAAACAGGCTCTCAAATCAGGAAGTATTTGATGGATGAAAACTTCACTCAAACACACGCAATTCAACGAATGAAAATAGGAAATCATTCCTGTAAGGTGAAGATTTCGCGTTCTTTGATTGAGTTTCCGTCACTGTATGAGAACACCAGCTGCTTCGACTAAAAAAAGTGAAGGTGTGCTTGTACTTAAAATCAACAAACCGTGAAAACCCTGAGACAGGAAGAAATACTCAATCCTATTTGTGAAGGAAAAAGCCGGCTTGAGTTACAAACGCGTGTTCGTCTTCTAAATCGAATAGTGAAATGTCAAGTGATAAAGAGACAGCACTGACGCCACTTAAAACTGCTGGTTTCAAACCCAGCGAGAAAGAGCGGGAACGATTGCGAACAGTGGCAGCATTTTTCGTGTTTGGGGCGCTGATTTACGCAACATATTCGTTGGTTATAGCGGGCGCTCAAGATATTCTCGCGGGAACGTTCATTCAGACTTCCATGGTTTTAGTCGCGGACATCGGACCATATTTCGTTGTCACATTAATTGCGCCATACTTTATGCAAAAGATTCCTTACTTTGTTAGAATCGCGACGGTATTCCTGACTGGAATCGGTGGCTTTCTCATGCTTGCCTTTGCTAAGCAAGTTCATTGGAAATTAATGGGCGTCGGGATAGCATCGTTTGGTTATGGAGTCGGCGAAGTGACTTTCTTGGCGCTCACGTCTTTTTATCACGAAGTCACAGTGAGTGCATATTCAGCGGGTACAGGAGCGGGATTCATAATCGCACCTTTATATTACACAGGTAGGTATTTTGTGTTTATTTTTGCAATAACTTCAGTATCTGGGTTTTCGATGACCTCTTGTTTGTACTAAAGCTGATCCTTTTTTAATAAATTTAAAATTCATATTTCCGTTATTAATATTTGATGTTAAGTAGTGCAAACGAAAATTATGAGTCCACCTTAGATTTGTTTTCATTTGAAAGCAAATCATACATTTAATACAAAATTGTTTTAGAGTTCTAACAATCTCAGGGATATTTTTGATCAAGCGAGCGTCTAGAGACTGTAAAAATAAATCATGTGAATTCGGTGGTGCATGACGTGTCTTGTATTAATTTGCCTTTTGTTTCATTTTTTCCTTGTTTGTGGCTTTATTCTTTTCTATGAATGCAATCAGGCACGTACAATAAGTGAAGAATGTGTACGTTTCTAAATCTAAGCAAAAACGTGATAAGAAAATTTCCTCATTTGACGCCAACGACCAGAATTGTGAAGAAAAAAGGAAACAATTTCTCAGTTTGTAACTTTGTAATTTAAAAGACTTTGCATTGTGCAAGCTAAATGTACTTTATCCTTTAATCTCCAATCGCTTTAAAGAAAATGAATGATAACTCGAGTCATTTTTGGTGTTGGAAAATGAGTTATTTTCACCCGTTGCATTGAGTTGTATTGAAAATGCCACAAAAATCTTAAATACTACTCTAGAACTCCGCCAGCTTGAATAGCTTGGGAAAAAGGAAATAATCCTGAACAATTCTATCACCTATAGTAGAGGACTTTAAAGTTCACTTCAAAATAAGACGCTTTGGTTCACAGGAAGTTCGTTGTTGTAGTTGAGCTAGAGTCACTAAGGAGTTCCTGAATTTAAGAGGCTGCAATGAAACATTTTGTATCGTTTCTTTCTTGCAGCCATGACAACATGGGCTTGTGTTTCACCAAACGCCACCATATTAATCATGGCGGCCATGCTGTTATTGATCTTCGTCTGTTACTACGCTATGGACAAGAAACATCTTGGGTCTCCCAGTTCCCCCGCGGCTAGTGAATGCGGAGGAATAAAGTACACACCAATAGAGACTGATGGTAAGCCTAGTGAATTAGATGCAAACAAATGACGACAATTTAAAAAGAAGAGAACGGTGCATAGTGGAATCGGAAAGCGATGGAAGATAAAATGTCTTCCTCTGGCTCCCAAGTTGAATTAACTGACTTCTTCGGTCTAAAAAGTAAAGAAAAACACCGATGTTTGTTACAAGAGTACCGAGGGATAAAATTAACCTTCTGAGCCCGAATAGTGATTAGCACCTCATTTCTCATAACAATATCACCCCTGAATCACATGTTTAGGTCACGAGAACAAAGGAAATAATCACCAACCAAAGAAACCCTTAATTATTAAACAAATTCTCATTTCATCAAGAAATACTTAGGCAAGCTCCAATTCTCACTCGCTTATGGATAGTCGACCTACGGTGCAATTATAATGTAATAAATAGCAGCCATGATGATATGAATAAGCTTGGCAAGTAGCTGCTCTCCGCTTGATATATTAATACATGTAATGTTAGTTAGTTCTGCATAAAATTTTCATTTGCTTTCGACAGACGCCCAAGCTGAAGAAACGAAGTCCGAAGACAGTGAAAACAACGACTCCCTCTCTTATCAAGAAAAGTTCATGATCATTTCTCAAATGCTTCCCAATTTGATACCGATTTTTATTGCCTGGTTTTCAGAATACATGATCATCCAATCCGTGATTACAACTCTGGCTTTTCCCAACGCTCCATTCAGACCACGTGACCACTACCAGTATTACATTTTCGTATTCCTGGGGGGTGAGGTTGTGGGACGGTCTTACCTCGTGGTACTCTCTTATGTCAAAGCAGAATGGGCCGAAAAAGCTAAATTCCCGTATCTATGGGTCCTTTCGACAATAGAAGTCATGCACCTTCTGTTCTTCGTCTTTTCTGCCTGGTATCGTTTTCTACCGAGTGTTTGGATCGTACTGGTGTTGTCATTCACCGGTGGGGTTACCATCGGAGTTTTCTTCGTGAACGCATTGGCATTCTTCAGAGACAGATTCGATGGTCGATATAAGGAGTTCGCCATGGGGTACATCGTGGTGGCCATGGGAGGGGGCACATTCACAGCCTCGCTGGTGGGCCTTGTGACTGAGCCCCTGTTAAGAAGGCACTGTATGGTGCTTCTGAAGAACGATGATTATTGTTTTACTCGGTCAAAAGCCAGAGAGCATATAATGTCCCAATGCCTCGTAAAACCGCCAAAGTAACTCAGGGTGCGTCATTAAGATTCTTCTCTCCTTAAAAGGCATTTCATTAATTCTAAATTCACAACTTATGACCTTGAGTTTATGAGTCGACATAACTTGTTCTATGGGATAATCATGATTTAATTACCGAACCTAAAATATTCAATGATAAATAAATCAAGAAAATGGGTTGGAACAAGTAAGTACATTGCTGCGTTGTTCAATACAGAATTCTTACTAATCAGAAACTATCCTACTCGAAATCATGACAGCGAGAACGCCACGTGTCTGGTTTTGAAACCTAAAGAACATGTTTGGTTTTGTGTACTGAGAACATAAGTCGACTCTCGACTTCTGATCATTTGTCCTCGCTAGCAAGAAAGCTAATGATTGGCAGCTTTGTTCTTTCTAACATCCAAACATTTTTATCCCAAGCTTGGCCAACATAACATATTTAACACTCTCCTTAGAGATAGCATACCAGTTTGTGAAAGTTAGCGTCTTCCCTCCCTCCCCCCCAGTCCCCAACCGTATCCACTACCACCTTAACAGTTTATAATAATCCAGTTAAATCAATACATATTCCTGGGTGGGGACTGAGAGAAACTCTGTGAGTGAGGTGCAAACTCATAACAGTGACCCTTGAGGGTTTTCCAATACCACGGATCGTAACGAGTCGTAAAACTGTCGATCCGTTCGACCCGTACGGGTCGTGGAATGTATTCACGAGTTGTACGACCCGAACTGAGTTGTCTAATATATTCACGGGGCGTACTTTCGATCTGTGGACCTGAGTTTTGTATGGTGGTGTGTCGATTTGACACTTTAGGTGGAATGTTAAATTTTCGGTTTCTTCTCGTCTACTTTTCTTACTTTCTCCCATAACAACAACAAAACGGTCTCTGATTTTAAAATTATTTCAAAGCAGTTTTTGACTTTGGGAACGCAAGGTTTCAAAACAAAGGAATTTCCCGTTATAAATTTTGTTATCGTGACCATCAATTTGTTATTAGAAGGAGTAAAGGAATCATTCTTTAAATGTTTTTTCGAGAAGATTCCTTGGATGCATCCCTTTTTCATCAACACAAAATTTTTGCTACGCGTGTTCCTGCTAATGCGACTGATGTCAAATCCGATACTAAGGCACGTACACGATACTCTAAGGGTACGCGACTAGAGGGTCCCGTCGAAAATATGTAATTTTTTCCTTCCCTAATTATGGCTAGTGCTCGTTTCTGCTCTCATGTTTCGTGCATCGTATATTCAATCTTTCCTTCAATTAAAACAGAGTTCACATTACCTTTGGTTATTTTCTGAGAACAATAAAACATTCTATCTTTTTCCTTTCACAAAGTTGCGTTTTCAATAGAAATCCCATCCAATCTATCAGCACTCTTTACAAATGCCGCTAATAGAGGAAAGAAAAAAAAATTTTATTACTCCCCTGCCCTCCAGCCCCAAAGGCTTCGAAAACACTATTCCTAGTTCAAATTTTTTGTGTATTTCGCGCGGTGCTTTTTGCCGGTAGAACGAGGAATACTCTAGTTGTTTGTGCACTTTGCGCAATGCTTTTAGAACGAGGAATACTATTGTTTTTTTTGCACTTCGCATGGTGTTTTAAGACCGCGGAATAAATTTGCTGTGTTTGCACTTTGCGGGAAATACATTTATTGTTTATGCACTTCGCGCAGTACTTTTAGAACGAGTGAAATACTCTTGTTCTTTTTGCTTTACGACCGAGGAATACATTTGCTAATGCACTTTGCGTGGTGATTTTAATAGAACGAAGAAAACTCTTGTTGTTTGTGCACTCTCTACGGGGTACTTTTAGAACAAGGAATACATTTATTGTTCGTGCACCTCGCGTGGTGCTTTTAGGACGAGAAATACACTTGTTGTTTGGGCACCTCGCGTGGTTCCCCCTTGAACAAGGGATACGTTGTGCGTTTCCAATAGACATCCCATCTTCGTCTCGTAAGATGTACCGTCTTGTTTTTTGTCCACTTCGCGCCGTGCTTTTTGCCTGTAGAACGAGGAATACTCTAGTTGTTTGTGCACTTTGCGCAATACTTTTAGAACGAGAAATACTCTTGTTTTTTTTGCACTTCACATGGTGTTTTAAGACCAAGGAATATCTTTGCTGTGTGTGCACTTCGCGGGGAATACACTTGTTGTTTGTGCAGTTCACGTGCACCTGAGGTACTTTAAGAATGTTGTATACTTTATGCGGTTCTTTTTAGAACGAGAAATACTCTTGTTGTTTGTGTTCTTCTTGAGGTAATTTAAGAACTTTGTCTGTGCACTTTGTGCGGTGCTGTACGGTGCACAGAGAAGTTGAAGGAGAGTATTAAAAAGCATCATCAAAATATTCGACTCTGTTACGATCGTGAAGAAGAAAAGTCAGAATAAGCGTGGGAAGGAAGGAATCGATTATAACATATTATCGAGAATTTTTGAGGATCTCAATGGTGTGATGGATTTTACGGCCAAAGGTTAAAATTTTGGCCGATTTCGGGCTAACGGATAATTTCTTTCAACTGTTATCGCAGGGAGTTTTTTTACGGTCACCTTTCCTATGACTAATGTTAAAAATTTGTCAATTTTTCGACGCCTAACGGCTAAATTTTGTGGTCGTTTCACGGCCAACTGTTGACCCCATTGAGACCCTTTCATGGCTCTGATGACCCGACAAAAAGTGGAGATACCTTCTTCAAGCTTACTTTGTGGTCGCAGTAGATGCAAAAAAGTTTTTGGAAGAAACATATCAAAGACAACGAAAACTTTAAGTTAGCTTTATTTTTCAAAGGAAATGGCTGCAAACCAACCAATCGGAAAATTGATCATGACGTCGCAGGAGTGGAAAGTAAGCGAAGGAAAAGGGAGGCAAGCTTTGAAATAAGTCAGGCAACTCGATTTTATCTGGCTAAACTGGGACACAAACCGGAGGGTATGGTTTCATTTTGACATGCTGTTTAATAAGACTATTCATTTGGAAGGCAGCCCACATCTCCAGTAATTTTGAAACACGCAGTTAGGTCAATTGTTCCCTGCAGACATGTACAATATTTCTTCGTGTAGGTCGTACGACTCATGAACTCATGAATACATAAGAAGATCCCGATGAATCGTATGATTCGTACAGATCGTTAACCGTCGTGGCCAAAACTTAAATGAGATTCATGGATGAAAAACAGACTTACGACTCGCGAATATATTGGCCAAACCGTAAGGATAGACAGGTCAGTTTTTACGGGTCGTTACGAGCTGTGGTATCGGACATGGATGGCGACAAAGAGGAACTGTGTGAGTGACGTGTAAACTCAATACAGTGAGCCTTCGGACATAGTAGCCAGCGCACGAACAACTAAGTAAACCAATAAATTCATAAAGGTTCCAAATTATGTTTCTTTTTTGATGACCATTTTCTAATTGTAAATTTTGGTTTATTTTGTTTTGCCAAGAAAAAAAAGTAGTTCTGCGACCAGGAATTAAACAAGGGTTTTTCCTTTTTTGATGCTATGTTGGGCCAATAATAATTATAATAATAATAATAATAAATAAATAAAGCCTTAATTGAAGTGTCAAACCACGTAGCTTGGAAGAAACCCATACTGATAAGGGGACACAGATTGATTGAGACTCGATAAACACAAAGCGTTCCACAAGTTCGTCAAGTGCTTTGTATTTACGAAGATTTATAGCTTTACATGGATATCTACTCCTCTTTTGCCTCTCGACGTGTCATCGAATGCAGCTTATGTAAATTAGTACGGAATAATACAGAAATAAAAATAGACATTCATAATTCTGCAACTCGAGGGGGAAAATGAGCGCAGTAAAATGACGAGCAGATGCTACGCCTACAAGATTTATATTTCTACAATGATTTTTAGCATTACTATCATTTCAGACAGCGAGCCGCTTTTCGTGCCACTTAATCAATAAAATGCGAAGTAAGTTCACATAACTTTTGTCAATAGTACCTGCGGTTTTTTAAATTGTCAGAGGCGACATCGGAGAAGAATCTGATTGGGGAATTGTACGGCCTTCCCACTGAGGGGGACGCAAGCGGCTTTACCACAAAATTTCAACAAAAAAAGCTGATAACAGCTGTTTTTAGTACACGAATAAATTACTCATTCACTATTGGCCAAATGTTATCCCAATATCTTAGGTGGGCACCGACAGGCCATATTTTTCACCACGAAATTTTTCCCGATAGGAACAGATCAGAAATATTTATTCCAAGACACGCTATATTGGTAATCAGCTGCAAGACATCGAAGAATTGCAGCAGCTATGAGCGTTTCGCCTTAGGTAAAGAATAACAGGCTTGCAAAATATGTGGGCGCCCTTACGCTCAACATTGAGACAAGGTCACCATATCCCTTCGTTTATTTTAGATTCAAGAATACCACGGGAATAATTGATTTTTCCGGGTATTGTTTATTCCAGACTGAAAAGGTGGTGAGAAAATAATGAAAACAATGTGTGACATGAACTTCATTTTCCTTCTGAGAACAAACAAGAAAACTCTCATTTAGGAATAAATAACGAAAAACCGCCGAAATTTGATCTACTACCGCACAAGAATATATACTGCGAGGTGGACGGTAATGTTTGCGTACGCTGTGCAGACCTTATCCCTTCCCTTTTGCTAATGTAGTCCGGAACCACGTAAAGGCTATGGCCGTCATTTATCTACGGTCAAGGTCATTTATTTTCATGATCTTATTTCCTTCAAATAAAAAAGCCTGATCCTTCGATCTCAAAAGTGTATTTAAAACTGTATTTAAAAGGCACTAAATGACATTACTTAGGGACCATACAAAAAGCGGAAACTCGGCTTCACGGCCAATTTTTTATTTTGTTCTTTACGTTTGCAAGCATAATTCATCTTTTCATCAACAAAGGGCTCATTCTTAAATCTTAAAAGGTTATCTACAAAGAAAACAATTCAGCAATTCTTGATAAAGCTAAATGAGTCGTGAAAATGCGGTAAAAATATCATGCGGGGGCGATGGCATGAAAAAATATGCAAACTTTGCTCTTCAAGCAATGAATCGTTTTAAACTAACACCACACATTTTCACGCATTGACTAAATAACTTCCTTTTAGTAAGCAAACTTTGTACTTTGCTGTGATATAATCAAGAGCCTTAAAAGCCTTCGTCTATGATTGTCAGGAGGTTTACACATGCAGCCAGTAAAAGCCAATTATTATTTATAATATTCACGTTTGTTTAGTCCCAAGCGACATCACGTGATAAGACATCTGCTGCTCAGTACGCTGAGAAAAAAAACAATCTTTTTTTTTTTTACATGTTAATGCAAAGTATCACCCCGTTCCTCGCCTTGCCTGTGTGGTTCAAACAGCTGCTTACCAAGAACAACCTATGATATCCAAGAATAAAAAAAGGACATTTTGTGGTTTGATTTTATCGTTGGTTTAATTTTTTTTCTCTGAACAGAAAAAAAATGAAACTGTATTCGAAAAAAAGATATTGCGCAATTGTTAGTAATTTTCTCGCCACTTATGATAAACTGGATTTTTCGATGGTTGTTAAAAGCTCTAATGCCACTAAAAGGAGGATATTTGATATTACTGTAAATCTTAATTCCTGACATGTTTGTGAGTTATCCCGCGGTAATATTTTTCCCTTAAACTAGAGAGCTATTCCCAATCAGAAATCGTGCGGTAATTGTTTCAGTGATTCCTTGATGCACTCAGACAATAGACCTCCTTTTCCGTTCAATTCTTTTTTCGCATTGTTGCATTTTAAGGACCCCCAAGCAGTCATTAGTCCATGCTGAAGGTAGATTGAACTTCTGTGAGGCCAATTTGGGCGGTACCTCTATTATTGTCTATTGTCCACAGGAAGCGGATGTGTTGCAAAAGCAAACATATATTTAAGGAGAAGTTGAAATAAGTGATGCTTAAATTTTCAGTAAATCTGAAATAAAAACGGAGCATCAAAGCGTGATAATATTGTCAAACTCAGCTGGAAACTGATGCTGAGATGTAAGCTACTCAGACTAACAATTCTCCCCAGGGTTTGAGATCTGAATAACCCTACAGAGGCACCGCAGCGCATATTCATATTTTGATTATGCACGGCGAATTTGATTGGCGAGGCATTCTACACATCACAATATACACATCCTGTCCATAAAAACTAGGGAAGAACATGAGAATTAATGTTTATATACATCGAATCGCTGGATTAAGGACCAACTTCGATCTGCATCGGCCGAGTGAATACCTCCTCAAGAATATGATCTCCCCATCCGCACTCAAAGAGAACAACTCAAGTGCTACTAATTTCAGCCTCGTAAACAACGAGACTTCCAATGGAGGATTTGTATGCAACGGGCGCTTTACGTGGTTCAGTCATGGCCCAATGATTCCATTCTGCGTTCTGATCATCGCTTCTAACATTGTCGTCATAGCATTAGTGTATTGGAAAGAAAGCTTACGCACTCTTACCAATATCATCCTCGTATCGCTGGCCGTATCAGACTTAATGTCAGGGTTAGTGGGTATCCCATTACTTTTCGCCTGCGCTGTCACCAAGACACTGGGTGCTTGCATCGCATCTGCCCTATTCATGCGCTTCACGACCGTTTCAACAGTGCTCCATTTCGTGTTGGTCGCCTCTGATCGCTATGCCATGATCACCTATTCGATGCGCTACAACACGCTCGTAACAAGATCGCGCGTGGTATGTGCTCTTCTAACAGTTTGGATCACATCCATTGCCGTATCCACGGTGCAGATGACATGGTACGACGTCAGTGAAAGCGTGAGAGAAAAGAAACGCGAAGACGAAGTTTACTTTTTTATTTTCATCATAGTTTTTTTCGCTTTACCTTTGCTTTACATGTTGTTTGTGTATAGCCACATTCTCGTTGTTTCTCTTCGTCTCCTCTTTGCAACCCGAGCACGTCGCACGAACTTGGGCGACGAACCCGTGCACTCTATCATGCGAGACTTGCGAGGAACAGCGATTCTGATCTCAATGTTGGTCGTGTTCACGGGCTGCTGGCTCCCATTTTATCTTCTTATACTACAAGATCACGTTAAGGTGGAAATAATCCCAGTCTATTCGTGGGAGCTGTGTGTGTATATGTTCATGCGTTTTATTCCGCCAATGTCAAATCCAGTGTTCTGTTCGTTTTGCAAACGCGATTTCCGAAGAACAATACGCACTTGGCTGAGTGCCCACGGAGTGAAGATGTGCCGAAGAAAAGATGAGTTCACTCGTGTAAGATTCACTCGAAGTCAATCAGACGGACTCACCGCTGGCTACGTTAGGAATGGGACAAGTTTAGAAACTTCACTGCAACGTTCTCCTTCACCAAGAAGCCTACGGGCAGCTAAACAAACCATCATCATAAACCATTGAACTGAAGCGGAAACATCTGTAAATATATTCTTAAGAGACCAAAAGCTCTGAATTTCATCTTCTCCTGAGAAAAAAAAACATTTTATTGCATTGTTCACTTTTTTGTTAGTTTTGATTTCTTTTGGTTATATATATATATATGTATATATATGGAAAACATCATTTTGCGACATGAAACGCATTTTAGCTAAAGTTGTAGATGGCTCTGTATGATTTTAAACTGCATAACAAAAAAACTTATGTAACTTATTACGTAAAAACCGCAAGGAATAACATATTTAAGAAAATTATCTAACGACAACTTTACATCCTGAGGGTAAATTAATAAGCGTTTACATGGAAAGATATGCGAAATAAAAGAAGGAAGTCATAGTCGCCGTAAAAATAGAAAATAAATATTATACAGAATTTGTAGGGTTATAGAACTGAGTCATTGATAATATACGGAGAAAGAATGAAATATTACAAATTGATGCCTGCAGTAGAATTGATGTATCCGTAATGCAAGTGTCTTAATAAATACAGTAAGACAAAATAAACTGTGTGTAGTGTTCTTGAAATTATCGTCGATGAACAATCTTGGATCCAAATCGACACCTACATCCTTAAAATTGATCAAAAGGGGGTTTGTTTGTTATTGCTTTTCTTTTCTTAAAATAGAAGCAATAACAAAAAAGGCTTTTCTTCGTAACGCACAATACGCTCAAATAAGTAATTAATCGTCGCTATGTAGCCAAAACAAATTGACATTTCCTGTGGGAGATTTCTAACTGATCCAGCAATTTGCCATCCAAAATTAAATTTCCTAACATCTGGAAAAATCTCTTTTTGCGTTTTTAATTTCTTTTTTTTTCTTTCCCCTGTTGCTTCCCTTTAACCCTTAAAGTGTAAACAGAATAACATTAAGACAAATTACCGTATTTGCTAAAAAAAATTGTAATGTTTAGGCTAGTAGTAAGACTTTTGATGTCATATTTGCATATGCAATTTTCCGGAGAACTTCCCCGAAAAAAAATCATTTGGCAAATAAAACCGTCTTTACTCTCCGTAAAGGATAAAATATATCCTCTCTCAGTGGAAAAATTATATTTCTGAGCGACGTGAACAAATTACAATCCATCAAATATTTTCGCTTGTGCCCGATTGGTCTAGAGGCAGAGCATAAGCGAATAAGCTCCATCTAAGTCTAAGGAATATCCGGTGAAATTTCCTAACTTAAAAATCTTACGTTTAATTCAAGGAAAGTCTTCATTTATTTCAAAAAGAAAATGAAGCTCCTTTTTTTCATAGAGTCGTATGAAAGACCACGAAAAGTCAAATCAGAAAGTGATAAGCCGTTTATCAACATTTTGCACGCATTGAATAATACATGGAAAAATTGACTCGACGGCTTGCATTTGTCTCAGAAATGCCCACACAGTTTTGTCTTAAGACGCTAAATATTCCTCGAAGCTCGCCGTTTTCCTCGAGCTTCGCTCTCGGAGAACTGTTCGCTTCTTGGAAAAATATAATGCGCGCATGTTTTTGCACCTAATGGCGCCTTTTGTTTATAGACAAACATTCCTAATTTTCGCGAAATTTCCGGCAAGTTTTATCGCGAAGGTCAACAAAGAGTGTATTAGGTTAAAAAATATGAAGATACCTTTGTGGTATGTACATAAACACCACATCGCCGAAAAGTGGCTCCAAGTTGCGTCCAAAACTAATAACAATCCCCTCTATACCGAGAAAAGTGTCTTATAATGCTTAATTAGGAGAATGCCTCGGTGTGCGAAATTTATTCAAGAAAATTGTGCCATTTCCTGCTTTTGATCTCCTGACGGTTTCAATATAAAAACTACAGGATAGTTTTTGGAACACTGTCAATAAAACAATCCATCTGCTCAAGAAAATGATATGAATTTTACTTACATTAGATGCTATCATTGGCATATTTCAACACGAAACTTCTGATGACAGTCAAAATCATATTCACATTTCATGTTGTATGAAACACCTTTTCAAACTAGCAAACACTTTGTTATCTACAAAAGCAATTGTTACAATACGTTTAAAACAAGTGCAATCTAAAGCAAATGGCCCGCTATGATTTCCAATACAATTCTTTTGGGTTCCACGCAGAGGAATATTCAGAATTCTCAGGGTGTCTTAAGGTAGGAGTAAAATGAAAGTTAGCGAAAAAAAAAAAGCCGACAAAGTTATTATCGTAGTTTCTAAAGAAAATCCTGCGTGTCCTGTTATGTAAACAACACTTTCAATACAGTGAAGAAAACAATACAACTTGAAAAGTGCACTTTCTGAAGTCAATGACACACTTTTAAAACAAATTAACATTTCGTGATTTTTGCTTGGTGCTCATTTCAATTTTTTTTAATCTCATTTTATTATTACTTTTTTTTATTTTCTAATTTTTTGATCAGAAAAATTATTTTAATTTGGTAAATTTGAAATACTTAGCAAAATCAAAATAACCTTTGATCTCATGATAAACTCAGTTTTTTCCTCAAATGGAAACTACAATATATATATAATATATAAATTTCTCTGTTGACGAAACGATTTACAAAATACACTCAGAATCTCTTAATAGTATCCCATTCTTAACTGCAATCTCTTCCTCAACAAAAACTAAAAGTAATTTTTTCACAAAAGTAACGATATTCTCCTGAAAGAAGACACTGCTTCTAAATGTTTATATGTTTTTGCTTTTTAAGAACCAATTCAATTATAAAAACAAAATTAAAAATGGCATTGGCTTCAGACGTTAATATCTCTGTCTGTAACTTACTGTTGTGTCTTATATTAAGCAAGTAAAAGGTTGATTTTCTTAAACGATTTAATTGCGAGATTTTTTTTATCATGCAGAGATAAGTAAAGCATAACTCAACGACACGAATATTCAGAGAAACTCGTATTTTTGCTCAAGGTTTCAATGAAAACTTTATCACAGCCACAAAAAATGGGATTTCATTCGGAATCAAGGAGTCACTTAGCTTGTGAATCGCCATTCTTAACTGGAATCTTTTCCTTCTTATTTCATGACATTTTGGTGTTTGTTTGTCAGTTTTTTTTTAATGCAGTCATAACTCCCCTGCTTCCTACTGTGTAACCAATTGATGTTCTGCATGTAATTCAGCCGGCGACTTCATCTGAGCTGTTGAGTTCTGTAACCTATTGCGTAACAGAAGTTACTGATTTCGAGTTAATATCTGAGATTCAGGTCAAAGATCAGTCCTAAACTTGCAGAAAGGTCTTCTTTATTATTTCTTATAACATAACATATTATCATGCTTTCATGCAATGATTTCTCCTTTGCGTGACAATAAATACAATATTTTATGAAAATAAATAGACCCTCCTCCAGACAAATGGTGACTGAGGATAATTAAAGGAAAATTTACAATGCCAAAGTAAACACCCACCTTTTGCTAAAATAACAGTTATTTTTTCAAACAGGTGTTTCTTTTTCTGGAAAAAAATCTAATTTTAAAATTCAAAAAGGAAAAAAAGATTCAAAGTTTATTTTAGGTTGAAAGTATATCCTATATATACTTTTCTTTTTTACAAGTATTTGTAAATATGGCCAAATTTAGATGGTAATTCCCACAATAATTTTAGTTGTCTAAAAAAAAACGATTTTCTTCTCTGTCTGCCATACTCATTCTTACAATTTTAGCTCTGATGATTTAATTCCAGGTTAGACTATAAGGACCTTGAGCAGTCAGGAAAGCAACGCCAAAGAAGACGTCGATAAAAATTCATATTTTTCGTTAGAATTTCGCGAATACCTGAATGTGTTTACCGTCTCTTACGGCGCCACACCTCAACTTCAGCCTATCCCTTTAACTCCCAGATCAAATTTGTAATTCTCCTTACTGTCAACCATACAATTCTTATAATGTTAGTTCAGAGAATTTAGTAGTGGATCAACTTATTATCCTCAAATTGATATTTTTCTTTGTTCTCATTACTTATCTAGTTGATATTGTATTGATATTGTAAGGAGAAATACTGTCTTGGTCACTCATGGGAGTTAAAAGGTTAACGTATGTGAGCAGCATTGAGTTCCATATGGAAACTGAAATAATTTGCCATCGGGGTTCCGTTCTCAGACCACGCAAGTTTTGATGATTTAACCTTACTTTTTTAAAGAGGATGGCCAAGAAATGGGCAAAGTTTTAAAGCGCACGTGCTGAGTTATTGTTCTGCCAATTAGTTTCTTGTTTTGCCACGTCCTCACTGATATCGCTGTCGTGATTTGCAAAAAGTCCCTCCTCTTTTGCAGAGGACGACTGATACAAGTACAAAGTTTAAAAACGCACGTGCTGAGCTATTGTTCTACCCATTTCTGCCCATTATATCTTTATTTGTGCCACGTCCTTGTTGTCATGCTGTTGTGGTTTGCTTAAGGTCTGATATCTCCTACTTAACAATTTTCTTTATTCTCAAGATAAATTTATTTTGGTGAGTGGTGAGAGTAAATAAAATTCTATAACCACTTCGTGAGCGCCATGGAATTAAGCTTTACTCACAGAAGAGACAAATAACAAGTAAAAAAAACGAAGATATCTCATCTGTAATGCAAAACAAAGTTATTTTCAAAAAGGTATCTTAATGTGTTCTTTCTTGAGCTAGTTAGCAGACAGTCAGCTGAAACCTCACAATCGTAATATTTTCACGTCTGAATATCAAGCACGTTCGCTGCGCGTAGAATAGAACATAAAGTAAACATGTTGTTGCATTACAGGCTCATGTGGAAAGTTCTGTTTCATCACCACAAATCTACTTTTTGTTGTGGACCAAATTGTATATAGGCGAATGATAATAGAACTGAAGCCTACTGTTCCTAAACATACTTCATAAAATTGACCAGCAGATTTATAATTTGAGTACACTTTTGTATCATCCGTCGACCCTTGTTTTAATTCATATCGGCAAATCCTTAAAAATAGGAGAGTGACTTCTTTAACGTCAGCAGGTGATTAACATGCAAATTCCTCGTGCAGTATCAATACACCATCATCAAACAGATGAGGAGATTGGGAAAACTTAACAGCTTGATACAGAACCGAATTGATTTAAAATCATAGTACAAATCTTCTGGCGTTCTTTATAATTGGCTACCTATTCGCAGTTTATCTTCAACTATTCCCTGATAGAAATTGAGTAGTCAGTCGCCTTAGAGTGCACGATCGTAGAAGAAATAAAACAAAAACAAGATCTTGTCTTGCTGTCAAGTTTTGGAAGACTACAAGGTAATTTATTATTATCAACTGAGTTGATAACGTAAATTGGCCACCGTAAAAGAGCCTCAAAGCTGATGTTTCGAGCGCTAGCCCTTTGTCTGACGTATTATCAATCAACTCAGTTGATAATACTAAATTACCCTGTTATACTCTCCCACCGACGCAGCACCACAGTTTCTTTAGAAACTTACACCCTTTATTCTTTCGGAAAACTAGTTGATTTATACT